AGTCATAATGGTATGTAAATACTGAACTTCTGGGAAAATGGGAATACGTGAAATAGGAACAAATATGAAGGCAACAGACACATTGCATTAAAACACAATTTATGGTATAAATATTTAGAAAAATGAAGAATAGCATTCGAGGAGTTAAGAAAGTTATAGTAATAATACCGGAAAAGGTGAAATATTTGTTGAATGTCATATTTATTTTACATTAATATAAAGTGTATTATTTATAAAACCTACTTTAAAATATTATAACTTTACAAAAGAATGTAAGCTTCATTTTATTGTTTCACCACATAGTATATTACATTTAAGTCTATGGTAAGTGACTTTGGCTTAGATGCGGACACGAGCCGTGACTAAACAACCACTTAAGCCGTGGACTGAAATTAGCCACGCTGTTTTTAGTCATAGTTCGTATATTTATGAAGTCTTTTTTTCTTTAAAAAGGCATAAATATGCTCCATCATTCGCATTACCCCTGCCAAGCAAAATGCACCGCTATCGCGATGACCTATGACTAACGTGTGAGAAGACCGAGAACGCGCCGGTGGAGCTGAGATAACTCGAGAAACGGAAGCAATTTAAAAACTGGCACTGGTTAAATAGGATTCGAGATCAAGAACAAACAAACTGGCAGTGGATTCAGACAGACGAAGAAAACACCATAAGAACTAATCGGTATTGGACAGAATTATTGTACAGGTGCAGTGATCACTAGAAAAATTAAAAGAAAAGCATTTGCCATTTTCAAAATAATAATTCTAAACACATATGTTTCCGTCTAACCTCATAACAACTTTACAAGAAAGTAAAACGAATGATAACACTCGACGAGAGTTGCAGTTGCGATTTCAGAATATACTGTAAAACCGGATTCACAGAACGTGTTTTCTAATCAACAGAAACCGTAGATTCGTTGTTTACGCCTCTAGAATAGGAAAGGAATTGTTGAAAATTGATGATATGTATAATTAGTTATAAAATTAATAAAAGCCATTAATAAGTTTGTGCTAAAATCAGAGAACAATAGAAGAAAGACGAGGTTACAGAAGTCACAAGAAGTTGTTAGAAGTGAAGAAATCTGTTATCGCGATGCAAGAAATAAAACTACGTGAGTTAGTTTGGGGAAAATTCTTTCAATCGTTTGCTGATTTAAGAAATAAAAGAAGAAAGTGAACGAAGACAGCAGCGAGATGAATAAAAAGACGAGCGGTTAAAAAAATATCGACTTGAACACAGTAGTACCTAAACAGGAAAAAATACTAAAGAATTAAAAGCAGTGACACGGCAATTTGTCCGCAAGGCTGATCATCTAGAAGAGTCTGTGAAATAACTCCGATTACGACTGTAACCAAGGGCAAATTAACCGAATTTTAGAAGGAGCACGATTTATGATGAAAATAGACGAAGAAGGCGAGACAGACGCATATTTTTGGTTCGCGTGGTCACTTTTGACCTCTGACTAACAGGTAAATTGGCTCCCGTCAGACAAACTAGGTGGCTCCTATCCCCTGTCGGGTCAGCCAGGGTGAAGGATTGTAAGTACAGAGCTGCGGTTCTTTTCACAAAATCTAATAATCTTATAAATACAACAATTTGTATTTCAGGTTATACTTATTTATTATTTTATTAACATTCACAAGTGCAACGATACAAAAAATTGATCGATTACACCTAATATTTTTAACAAATTAATGTTATTTACGTGGGTAAATATATTTTCGTATTTTCGTTACCATTGAGTTTTACTGCAAAATTTGTTATTGTATTTTGTCTGAGCTCTTCCATTTATTATGGTAATTTTTTTATTGTAGTTGAACTGCGAATTTTAATGTATGCATCAATTTGGATATTTTTTAAAACTTCTATAACAAAAAATAAAATATCTACAGATGATTCCCTCACCACAGGAGGCAATTTTATTTTCGATATCATAAAATCTGCGTCCCTTGACCATCGGAGCTAATTTACCTGTATTCATTTTTCGGCGGAGGGTCAAAAACCGACTGCGGGAATCAACTCGTTAATCCCCGAGACAGATAAAAAAAGAAAATCGAAAAAATATTAATGCAAATGCTGTAATTTCAAAAGTATGCGGTACACTTTTTAAATTATTGAACGATAAAAAAGGCAAAATAAGAATGAGAAACGATACTGCAAACAAAACTCAGGCGTCAGCTCTTTATGCAGGTGGCTGCCTGGTTACAAGTCATAAATTACTGGAACACCCGGAAGTGGCCAATTTTGCATTTTGTACAATCTCGACATCATGTGTGTCAACAAACGGTCAGCCCAGGACGAAATAGTATTTTTGTAATAATCAAATCAAAAACAAATAAATTTTATTTTCCGTTACATTTAGACAGAAGGAGTCCATTAACTTCGGGGCTCTGATGCATATCCGGATAAACCGACATTGTACAATATATTTGTAAAAATATATGTGGTCCTCAGCAATATGGGTAGTGTTTAAATTGTTTGTTTATAGAACGGAAGAATGTCACGTAGACATTTGTTTGATTTGAATGAGTTTATTCCATCAAAATAGATGACTAAAATTATTAATAAGCTTCAATTGAATAAAATATTCTGAATGTTATTATTATAATACTTACCTTATCATTATTTTATTGTTATAAAGACGAGCGTATTCTCACATGTTCGAGAAAATGAGGTGGGGTGATCAATAAAAAATGAAAGAGTGATTGATTTTATTAAATTTATTTTAACTAAAAAAAATGTTTGCCGCCCGCTGGTTATAAAATGGTACCTTCTCCAATGCTCCGCCACTGAAATGGTTTATATCTGGGCGCCATGGTCACTTCGTCGATAAGCAAATCACACGGTTGAGTTCCATTAGAGATTCCTGTGGAGACTTTTTTCTACATTCATGTTATATATCACACTTTAGTTTTATCCAATGCGTCGGTTGATGTATCATATTATGTAACGATAGAAAATTATGAATGCATTATTAAGCGCACGGATAACTGCAGTGTTACCAACACACAATAACGTCTAATAAATATCTTATTGTCACATTATTGCCGCCAAAATTGGAAGTGGTGTTCTTGATTTGATGGGCAAAAAAAGTTGGGAGTGCCCGGATTCGTACCCGGAACTTCCGAATGCAATGCAAAAAGTTCAACTGAGCCACCTGCCACGCTTACGAAGCGATGTATTATGTGGCAAAAGAGGACGATCTTTAAACAATAAGTAAGTAACAAAAAGTAGTATTCATTTGGTTTTGATTAATATGTAGGAATGTAGGGTATACATGAACTTATTTTTGTGTCGACTTGACGAGTTGCTCTACATTGCTTCTAACTTTTTTCGTTATAATCTGCTGTTGTATTTTGTTTCTTGTGTTATTCTTCTCCATGTCTTGATTTTCTCTCTCCATCTTTGTATGTTTAATATTTGCTATTACTTGATCTGTCTACCTCAGCCTTCCTCTTCCTCTTGTGATGTTTAGCCTCCACAAGGTGATCTTTTTCACTTCCTTGTTTTCTCTCATCCTTCGAACCTATCCATATCATCGCAATCTTTGGGCTTTCATGACTTTCACAATTCTTCTCCTCCTAATATGTTCTGTCACTTAAGTTCACTATTTTACGAAATTCTCCTTCACTTATTTTTTTTTTTTGGTTCATAGATTCATCTCACAATCGTTCTTTCAAATATTGTTAACTTATCTTTTTGCGTCCTCCTCAGGCTGATTTCTGATATATCGCTACTGTTCGTATAGCCACTCTACATAAGTATCTTCAATTTGTTGCTCGTGTTAATATTTTTCTTACTTTTCAAGGTGTCTTTCTATTTATAATTACCTCTATGCCCACTTTGAATTCTGCAGTCGATCTCTATAAGTCATTGGTTCTCAAATACTCGTATTTTTATATTTCTTGGCGTTCTATCTTTAGTATTTCGGTTTTGACTTAGGTGTTAATAAATAACTTAATTTTTTTGAATGGAAACCCAATTTTTTCTAAGTTAAAAGTTAAAACGATGCAAAATAATTAGTGGTTTTAAGTTTGGGAGTAAATTCATACATTTTTGGTTGATGCTGTCAACGTTGTGACGTCGTCTATATTTTTTAAATACCAATAGCTATTTCATGTTTATTTTGAAAGAACACTTTAACTGTAGGTACTCGTGTAAGTTTTTACAGATAGTCAACATTTTTCAATTAATTATTTGATTTTGTCAAATTATATTCTTTTGTTTTTTTTTATCGTTATCCTTTTTATATGCTCAGTTTTTATCCGATTTTATAATATTGTTAAAAAATAAAGTTCACAATTGTAACAGCATAATCTAAAAACTTCTACTTTATTTCTAAAGCATAACTCATAAAACAAAAATTTGGTTATTTTTCGAATTCTCATTAAATTACACTCTTGCATTTTTAATCCAATTTGTTTTTTTTTAATATAATATAAATTTTGAGATTTTTGCAGTATTTATACATTTGTTAGTGAGCAAAAGAGGGGAATCGCTGCAGAACGTGGTAGACCAGTCATTTTGGTGAGTGCCAATATTATTCCTGTCGGTAATTTTATTACAACGAAAACAAATTAGTGAGCAGTGCAAAGCAAATTTTCGAAACCTGTTTTGCAAACGGTAAACATTAATTCTTACTATTACTATTAGTAGTAATAGTTGTAGTAGAAATACAACTGCGATGTCTAAAAAATGAGCCTAGATATTGCTGTAAGTTTTGGGACTAATTTTTTAAGGACTCCTTTCATTCTATTTTTTTTTATTCGTAGATAAATACCTCAAAAATTATAATCAAATAACCGCTACTTCAATTAAAACGCGTACACCACAGAAGATTTTTTCTTCCGCCACAACTCTTCCTAAAAATAGAAATTCTCTAACACTCATCTTTGAAAACTTCCAAAGCACCACAGCATCACCAAAACAAAAACGGATTCCCCGGCCGGCAAAGCGTCGCAAAGAATGCGGATAATGACGTCATTGATCCCCTATAAAACAAGTGAACGAAGCGCCGACCGCACACAACCGAAACGTACACGTACGAGCGAAGACGCGCCTCACATATACCGAGTGTTCCACTTTCTACATCACAATGAACAAGTTTCTCGTGTTGCTGTGCTTTTGTTGTTACCTCAGTTCGGTCAACTCCTCGGCCATCCCGATGTGGGAGTTTTTGAGCAAAGAAGAGAAAGTGAGTGCAAGAAATTGATAAAAAGGAAATGCGTTTATTTTTAATTTCGTCTATTGATAGATGTCCTACTTGTACTCGATGTTCGCCAATCAGGTCGATGAGTTCTGTGGCAAGTCGACCATGGCCAACTGCAACAAGGAGTTGCTGAAGTACGGCCTTGGCAAGCTCAAGGACATGCCGGAGGACCATTTGGACGTGATGGACCCGTACCAGAGGGGGGCGAACGATATAAGTAAGTTATGGGGAAAATGAGTAAATAAATAAATAATCGAGGGCGTAGCTGTAATAATTGCAGGAGATGCTAGATTAACTTTATGTACACACATTATTAAAACTTGGTTTATTTTTAAAAGGCGCAGAACATTTAAAAAACTATAAGAATTCAACGTTGTAAAAATAAATTAATTGTGTTATTATAATGTTTCGTAAGTCAACAGTTTTCATTTAAATTTTGTATTAAACTTTTTTTAATCACCGCACGTTCCAGTCAGATATCCTTGAAAATGCGATATTTGATGTTGAGTTGATTTGGCTAATTTTTCAGCAAACATTGAAATTAAGTGATAATCACTTAGCAAAACTAAATAAGATAGTGAAAAACAAACAGTATTATTGTTATACAATGTCAATAAAATACAACCTCTTTGTAATAACATAATTATATGTACTTAGAAAAAAAAACCGACGCTTTAACTACAAATAATTAATCACTTGTTAAACAGATAGGGAAAGTAACGTAGAATACGCCAATGAGGAAAAGACGTTTTGTCAGGAGCAGATTGAGTGTCTTTTGAGATTGTCGTAAATATGGTAAAACATCACAATCTCCTTTAAAAATACCCGACTTGAACTTGTTATGCAATTTTTGTTACAGTTTTGACTCATTATTTTACTTTACATAATATTTCAAGAGGTGAAACATATAGCAAAAATTTTTAATTTCATTCTAACGAGTTTTGTACTGTTTTTAATAATAATACATTCGTAATTAAATTTTCAAATTTATGACAAAACGTAAACAAAAAATTTGTTTATTTATCCTCTCTAGAAATTTGATGACATCGTGCCAGAAACGTTAATTAAGAAATCAGTTTTGACCTTTACAGCTGCTTAAGAGGAATTTGAGTGCACTACAAATCGCTTTGATGTGGTTTTTGGTTCTATAAATTTTTTGAATAGACAATATTATCAAAAAGACAACACTTGAATTGACGCATCTCAAGTAGTGGCGGTGTGGTTTGGCACCTAGAGCGGTTTTCCGGTTTTCTATTGAGCACCCCACCCCCCATATAATAAAACAACAAGTACCAAACATGCTTACGGGTCTTTATTTTGGCAAAATTGTCTATGACGTTATTTCCTCTCTTTTTCAATTGATAAAGTGGAAAGATTGTTTAGTCGCGCTTAGTTCACTGTGGACCTTAAGCACGATTTTATCAATTTCAATTTTGAAAAGCTTCTTTCACATGAAGCCACCGAAACAAATGGCTACAAAAATCTTAGACAAATCGCTAGACTCGGAACACACTCAGAATAGCCCCATTTTACGATGAATCTGAGAAGCTCCATTGTAGTCCACTGAACCGCTTCTTGGGAAGAAATGCTGGCGGCTTCCAAGTGACTCCTCAGTCGTAAAATTTCCAAAATTATGTCCTCTGCAGAAAATTTATGGTAGATTTTGGTCAGATTCTATGAACATTTTTTTTGATGACGTTAGCAATGAGATTTATATACTTACCGTTGCAGTAACTGTTCCCGCCCGCTAACGTTGCTTTTAGAATTGAAAATTGTCATTTATAAACTCCGTTGTTGTCGAAATAAGTCTACACATATTAAGAAAAAAAAGCGTAGGCTCCGCCCCATAATTCCAAAACCCATATTTCCTTGCATAAACCATTTTAACCATGTTTTAACCTTCTTGTTCTGAAAAGATGGCTGTGTATATTATGAACAAAAAGGCATAATATTAAGAAGTATTGTCATGAAGTCCGTCGGCCGACTCTGCTTTTACAGTTTTTCCACCTTCGTTTCCGTCTGTCCGTCTGACGGTCGGTCTGTCTGCCGTCCCGATTTTTTTTGCGGACTGATTCTTCTGTAAGCATTTTCTGGCTCTGCGAGTGAATTGTCGTTGTCACCCCTTTACGCCGCCACTGTTCTCAAGTGTTATTTTTTTTTAATTTTGCTCCACTTAAAAAATAATATTTCAACTTACCCAAATTAACTTAACTTTGTAGCATTGTATTTTACTTTTGAATACTAAACAAAGGAATTACAACACTGGAAACTCAAGAAGGTGCATTTTTTTTGTATCATTTGGTAAAAGATTGTTGCAAAATAATGCATTTTTATCTTTATTTTGATAGAAATATGAACATCATTTTCGAATAAAATATCTGTCAGTGTTATAAAAAATAAACAGATTATATTAAAAAGTGACATTTGAACCTATTTATTTATAATGATTCAACTAATTTCTGTAGAATTATGACATCATTGGTATTATACATATAAAGATTATTTATTAATTTATACCTTCCAAAAAATTGCTGACATCATCTCTGTTCACACAAAAATTGATTTATTTTATCAATTTTTGTCAGGAATTGTTCATGTAACTTCTTTAAAATTCTGATACGACAGTAACATTATAATGGCGTTACACTGTAAATCTAAAACAATTATATCCCCACTAAAAATCGATGAAGCCATGTTCCTAAAAAACACTTTATTTAAGGATAAAGGAAATATAATAAAATATGGGAAAACTGTTTTTTGAATTTTATTTAAATTTTTAACGTGTTAAAATTGTCCTAAATAGTAAAGAATATTATTAAAATTGCATACTAATAAATATAATAATTTAAATATTTAGTAGCAGATTGGACGGAACTTTCCCAGTTTTTGACGCATAACCATTGTGATATTGGAATCTTCGGTGTTAGCAAGTGTTTTTGTTTTATGTTTACTTCAAAAGAAAAGATAAATAGTTATTGCGATACAGACTGATTGCATAAACCGCAAAAATGAAAATAAAAAAAGTCGAATCGAATACGCTTGGTTGACATTTTCAGAGTTGTGACGTAATAATATTTTTTTATTCATAACATTAGAAGTAGACTAATTTCAAAGAATAATAGTAATAATGATTCAAATGAGGTTCCTGTTTTTTAGGATTTGTTTTTTTTTTGTCACTTTTATATTACGTCAAATAATTAAATATATATAGGTGCAACAGATACAAGTAAGAATCAACTAATAAACCAGTTTATAAATTAAAAAAAAATATGTGTCAGTGAAACCAAAACAAAGTACGCGTAGGTAATTTGTTTGTCTTTACAAAACCATGTACGCACACACACTTACACATACAACTTAAAATAATATAATCACATTCACAGGATGTCAAAACGTGATCTAATAATGTTTCAATATAGACAGTTCTGTTGTAGTTTTCCGTGTCGTAATTTCCTTAAAGAGAAATTTAAAAATAGTGAAAATTATACAGTGTCTAAAAATGATTGTTCGAACAACCTACCACCGGAAATTTAGTCTTTAATAATGCAACATACATCACAAATTTGCAACGTCGATTATAATCACTGCTTTGACATAACAGAAAAATGAATGACTTTGTACTTATTAATCATTTTTAAGACTGTTTACTATTTTTCAATTATTAGAATCTTACATTAAGTGCTTAGTTTTTTCCAGAAGAAGAGATTCAAGTTTCTATTTTTCATGTTTAAAATAGAAACCAGCGAAACGAAAAAGTAACTTGTGTTCACGTCTGCTTAACTCACAAATTAAATTATTAATTATAATAAGTAAAACGCAGAAAACATTATGCAGCAGGTCGTGAAAGTTTAATAATTTTTTTATCTATAGTGCGTTTCCACGCATTCAATTTAATAATATCATATTGTAACATGTTTTAAATTTTCAATTTGCGTATGATTGTTTAATCTTCTTTGAGACCTGTACATTAGATCTTTTTAGTTACAAACATAAAATCACTGTTAAAATATCGTTTTTTTCTGAATTTTGACGGCTTGATCATTATAAATAAATAAATTGTGGGAAGAAATAAGTCTTAACTTGTGGAATTTTTGTGTTGCAAGGCGCTTACAAATAAATCTCAGCATCTCTCACAATGATAGCACGCCTATGATGCCATAGAAATAATTAAACACTATAAAAATTTATTAACAATTACGCAGTTTGGGACTCCATGATGGAAGGCCACGAGATGATGAAAACCACCAACCCCCGCCCCTCAACTACTACCAAACCCAACAGCTACGAAGACGAGTCGTTCGGGGAGTATGGAGCCGCCTCCGCCAAAATCGACAACGTATACCGGGTGTCTCCACCCAAAGGTTTCGTCTATACGATCCAGTCCGGTACGCCCCTGTATACTTACCCCACACAAAATGTTGGCAAAAACGGAGCCTACACCAAATTCCAACAGGCTTATCCTACCACTACCGGGGCGCCTTTTGAAATAAAAGTTTACCCCGACGGGAGGCCAGTACGAGAAGGGGCCAGTCAGGCCCCACACGATGAGGATTTACGGCAGTACCAGCTGTCCAAAGTAAAAATCCCTAGCTTGTAATCTGTTGTGATATGTGTGTATTTATTGTGTGTTTATTTATTGTTTTTATTTATTTATTTTTGATCAGTGTGATCGTGGGGGTATAGCCCTCTGACCCATATATGGGTGGTTGCTCTTTGTACACTATGTGATTTATTAGAAATAGATGTTTCACTTTTAGGAGTTTTTTTATAGCCTTCGATCAATATTTCATTAGTTTAATGTATTCATGAATTGATGAATCATTGGAGATAGTTTGAAAAAATGCTTTTGGAATGATTGATGACATCAGCATGACAAGGCCATTGTCTGATGAACCTCTGTTTAAGAGTCGGTGATTGACAAGGCAATGACGTTGCATGGTATACTTTTTGTCTGCTATAAAGTCGGGGTTAGAGTCGTTAGACTGAAATTATGTTCAGTCTTTTTTGTTAAAAGCTTTGAGATCTGCGGTATGTGCTTTTCAAAAATAAATTATGCATGTTATCGTGGTCATATATTTTCTGGCTCACACTATTTACATTTGGAATTATTACTTTTCCTGGAAATTTAGTGTTTTGCTTCTGCGCTGCAATAGTAATGTATGAAAGTGAATTTTTCTAATCAGGATCTTCGCATTTACGAGTATTATGAAAAAACACCTGCGTGCTTTAAATTCAGGATTTATTTTAATATCTTGTTTAGTTTTGAATTGTCGTCAATAAAATGTTTAAAAAATCTGTCGTACAATTTCATAATAAAGAGGAATGCCTAATTAAAGACATATTATACCAATTTGTACCAAAAGAACAAATTTTGTAAACAAAACTCGTAGGTATAATACGTTTTGATTTTATTTTTCACTTTCATGTTTGTACAAGTTTTAAATAAAAAGAACATATTCAGAACGTTATTTTTGTATCCACTAAAATTTTATGACCTGGTTATGAAGGGTGGATGGGGTCGTAGCAATTGTAAAGTATTGGTTCGCCTTGGATTGTAATTGATAGAATTGAGGCTTATAGAAAAGAAATGGCAAGGAAATTATTTACAAACCTTAAATATAAACTTACAAAAAATATAACACAAACGATACTATAGACAAGATACACATAATAAACAATAATAATTAAAAAAAAACAATAACAATCTAATCACCGTTGCAGGGATTACGAATCCTTAAAAAATTTATGTCGATGAAGAAAATTATTTTCGAAAATATTGAGATTTATTTAACAGTCCACACATTAATATCCTCGATGCTTATTATTTAGTTTAGGTCAATTATTTAATTACTAAAGATTATTTTTACTTTAAAAATGCATGCAACGATGAAACTAAACCACCAGAAGTTAAACTATCTTGCACACTGACTTTTGATTGCGTAATTTGAGACGATTTTTGCACATGTGGATGTATCTGGAAGACTAACTATGTGGAACACTAAAAATTCGTTTAGAGTTTCTGCACTTCCATGGTCGTGTTGTTCTAAAACTTAGAATACTTGAAGCAAAATTTATAGTCGTTAGAACACGGAAACTGATCCTTTTTGTAATTTGAGGCGTTTCCAGAACGTAAGTAGTGTGAAAAATTACCGTCTATATTACACAAATCCAGAACTTGACGAGGAAACTGACACTAAAACCAATAATTTTTTACATGTTGGTCACACGAGTTAACTGGGTCAGAACATGACAACTGACCAAAATTGTTTCTTTTCGGAATCTGAGAGAATCTGGGCGTAAATGAGTGCGTCAAGTATGTAATTGTCAAATACTCACTACCACATAGTTGTAATCCAATAACTGCAAAAGTAGAGGAAAAGCCAATCAAAATTTATCTAATCATCCCCGCCAGCAATGTACATAGTAAATGTTATTTTAAATTTTATAAAATAACTAGCTGACCCCGTGAACTTCGTTTCACCTACAATTTAATTTTGAATTTGCAAAATCGAATGCTTATAAATCTTGCAGATGTTTTAAACATATGATACATTTTTATTCAAAATATATTTACTTATCCCCTCCAAAACATTGATGACGTCAGCCCAAAATTTTGCCAAATGAATATCTAAAATGTCCAAAATAGGATGAGACTATACTTGTGATTTATCATTCCATTCATATTTTTTAGTTTTGCTTATAGGGGGTGTCTCAAAAAAATTAATCACTGAGTCAGTTTATTTTATTGATTGAATCAAGAATTGCAAAACTGAATTTTGAAATATTGTAGACGTTTTGAAGTTACTGTTTCACATGGGTGGTTTTCAATCAAAATATATCTGTTTATCAAGCCCAAAAACTTGAAGACGTCATCTCAAGATTTTGCCGAATAAATCCTATCTAAAATGTGCAAAATATCATCAGTATATTTTCGTAATTTATCATTGCATTCATATTTTTTGGATTTGCTTTTAGAGTGACTCAAAAAAATATTTGGATCAGTCATTTTATTTTAGTAATAACTCAAGCGTTGCAGAAATGAATACTTTGAGATCTTGCAGACGTTTTAAAGTTATTGTGAGCATGGTAAATTGTTAAGAATATTTATTTATTCCCCCCAAAAATTGATGGAATGGCTCACTCGATTTTCGCAGATAATTTTGGGAATACAATACAGTTATTTTTAGTATTACAATGCACCAATCCAAGGTGGTATACGTGTTGATAGTAAATGTTGATTAGGTTATCACAAAATTGTGTAAAGAAAAGACTCAACTCGAAAATGCTGAATATGTTTCATTATACTTTTGGTGCGAAGGAAGTTCTGTCGAAACAACGTTCGATCAATTTTTTGACAATCGTTGATATAAATAAAACTCAGTAGATGCTCATACACGAAATACGAAGTATCTACTCGAATATCAAATCAAAATATTTCTAGTTTTTCTAGATGAAACTAATACTTCAGTAAGTAACAGATGATGCTCAAGTAGCATCTCAATACAACAAAAAAGGACAACAGTGACAGTGTTCAACCATCAAGGCAAAAATCGAGTCACCAAAATATAAGTTAGTATGGGGTAGACACCTTGAGATGGGAATCTCTATGGCCAGTGAAAAAACGCACTGCACAATTTATGCATAAATAAAAGTTAATTACATGAAAAGTTTTCGATATTCCTGCTCCTAATGTGTTTTTCAAACTGAGTGCACCTTTTGACGACGTTCCACGTTCATGAAAGTCGCCATGTTTAGTTAAAATTCACTCTTACAACGATCCTACTCGTTTTCTAAGCTGCTTTACAGACAGCTCAGTTATTTGCCACGCCGATGCTCATTTTTAGATTAAATGCTCACAAAATGCGTAGATGTTCAGTTTGTGTCCGGGGAGATACAATGTTTCCAAGTAGGTACTCAGTACATAGAGTAGATGCTCAGGTATAGGTATAAGAGTAATAATGAATAGGTACTTCGTACTTCGAATATGAGTATCTTCTCAGTTTTATTGATACCACCCAATGTCTCGCTTCAATGTTTGATTATGTTGATTATGAGCACAACGCTGATCAACTTTCATATCCGAATTACCCATGAAATAAATCATTGCGGTTTGCACCTGAGGAAGTTCGTCGCACATTTGATTGACTTCGTGGACCTATATGAGCTTGTCGTCTTCTCGGCATTTTAATGAACTTCATATAACGACACAGAATTATTTTCACAGCCAATCAAATCTGTAAATTTTGTCTTGAGAATTTTAAAATATTGAAAACTTCAAATTAAATCCTCGAATAACGGTAAAGTTTGAGGTTTTGTCGAAACCAACAAAGTGAATATAGGTAAATAGAATGGCAGATCAAAATGAATAAGAAACTTTCGCAATGTGTAATTAAATTCACTTTAACCAAGGCTTTTCTTAAAATAAACGTCGTTTTTTTTTTTACGAAAAAACAAAGAACGATTTGAAATGCACTATACTTTTCACAATCGCACGGAAGAATTAGTTTTGTATGACACGTCAGTTAGACGACAGGTCCGTCAGAAACTCCAACTATTGAAATTAATTCGAAGTGGCGATTCCCATACACAATTTTTAGAATTTTTTTATTTTTTAACTGTTCTTTTAAGTTATCCTTATTTTTTTCATTTATAAACCATCCCCGTAATATAAAAAATTTTTTAAATCGGTCAAGCCGTTTTTGAGTCTTAAAAAGGGGTCAATTCCAAGTTCAGGGCGCAAATCATGGGCGCAGCGCAACTTTGCACCTCTGATTTGCGCCCTTGTTGCGCCTCGAGTTGCGTCCAAATTCTAAGTAACAAAGTTGCACCCGCGCAATGTAGGCGCAACGGCGGAACATTAGCCACAGCATTTTACTTTGATTGGGTGTGGTTGTTCTGTCAAATGTCAATTTAACTGTCAATGCAGGAGTACGCAAGCGTCAGCTACATATTTCGAATTTAAAAATATTAAACCATGGCAAATAAATCGTAAGTAATTTATGCTTTTATTTCACGGACAAGTTTTAAAAAGTAATGGGTACCACATATATTAAAATTAATCACAAAATCGCTAATTGTAGCATCAAAGCAAGAGGTAAAAATTTTACCAAAACAGAGCTGCTAGCATTAGTGGATGCAATTGAGGCGCGGAGCAAGTTTTTGTTTGGGGCTTTGCAAGGTCCAACTTTAACACAGTACCATCGGGACAGGGCATGGGAGAAAGTAGTGGAGGCAGTAAACGCAGTGGCACCAGTGGTTCGCACGACGAAGGACATAAAAAAGAAATTTAAAGACCTTAAAACCAGGACAAAACAAAAGGCGAATGCCTTTAAAAGAAGTACCAAAAAGACCGGTGGGGGCGAAAACGAGGAAACTCCTCTGAATGAGATGGAACAAAAAATCATCTCATTCATTGGAACAGAAAGTATCGAGGGGATCGCTGGAGGAATTGATACATTCCAAAAAAGGGGTAAGTATATTTGATATTATTATGTAAATGCTTTTACTTAATTTATTATCAACTGAAACGTAAAAAAAATGCTTCAATAAAACATTTACAGGTATATTTATTAACACAAACGTTAATAAAGATCTATTTTTACTGAATTGCTTGCATTATTTGTACTTTTTTTTAGTTGTTAACGAACCAACTCCTCTCCTGATCCCTCCACCATACCTTGAAATTTCATTAAGCCCCACTGAAGGTATGTATAGGTTTATAAAATAGTTTTATTTATAAATAGACAACAAGATAGTTTCAACATCGATACAGTAATAATATACACATATCATTTTTAAATAACCATAATTACTTTGCAAATATATTAATAGTTTATTATTTCCACCTTTTACAGAGTATAACATGTGTTCCACTGGACCTAGCCCTACTTCCTCTCCTCCCAGAGTTTCAGTTTCGCCAATCCTGCCAGCACCCCTCACTGCACCACCTGTGATACCTCCAACTGTCCCAAAGAAAAAATCTAAAACACAGGTTTTGGATGAAATTAAAAGAACTACCACTCTGCAAACACAGCAGAATGTTTTACTCTCTGATATCCTTACGGAATTCAAGAGCTTCAGTAGTCAGGTAACCGAAGGAATAAGAGAGTTGGTAGCTCTAAAAAAAAGAGAGGTAGAAATTTTAGAGGAAAACCTCAAAATAAAAAAAGCCAAAACCTCACATTAAATATTTTATCTAATTATAGTAATTTTTGATTGTTCATTATTTATTTATTTAGTTATTATTCACATTAAATAAACATCATATACTTGTTACTTTGATCATTTATTGAATTATTTATTTATAGGGATGTACCGACTAGTGGCTGACCGGTCGGCTTTTTTTACTAAAATTAAAATAGTATATAAAACAATTAAACCCGGTTCACAGAACCTCAATTAAATATTTAATTGCGATTTAATTTTTAACCTCGCGTTAAAGTACCATGTGACCGACTCTACGCCAATGAGACGTTGCTAATGGCCTTGTTAAATGCGCGATCAACTTAATCTCAGTTAAAATATTGTATAAACTGGATGTAAATTGTGTTATTTTTTATTTTTGTACTGAGTTACTGCAAAAAATTAAATGTTAAAATTATCCAAACAAATTTTAACACATTTTTTGGAAAACAAAGGAACTTTAGTTATTCCTTTTATAAAATAAAACAAATTTTTAAGGTAGTCAGAGAAATAGAAAAAAAAAAACACACTGCCTGTCGCATTTATAAACCGGTTTTTGCAAAGCCGAACAGTCGGCCGACTAGTCGGTTTTTACTGGCCGAACAATCGGCTAGTCAGTTAGTCGGCCAGACCTACAGTCGGTACATCTCTATTTATTTAGTTTAAAAATTAAGTTGTAATTTTTTTGTCAGTTCGGTTACTTTCCACAATGGAAATTTTGAAATTAATCCTTGCAGAATAAAATGAATCCAAAACGTGCTATTAATAGAACTAGCAAAAAAAAGCAAGTATTAAATTTAACAGTGTGGAACAAGCAATTGTGGAAATATCTAGTGGGACCCTGTAAAGGCTGACAAAATCCCACCAGGTTAAGGAAGGGGTGTTATTTGAAAATATGAGAGTTAGAAGTAAAATTTGTGTTTGCAAAGGATACAAATTAATAAATTTTGAAAAAAAGGGCTGTAGAAGTCACCAACATACAAAATTTTAACCTACAATTGCAGATGAGCACAAATGTTAAATAAAAAAGGATACATGTCAAAATCAGGTAAAATGTTGTGCAATCAGTTGTCTTTTAATTTGGTCATAATGGAGATTTTGAGGCTCTTGACATGGGAATTCATCATTCAGAGGATGTTCTTGTAAATCTTCTACATCCAGGTTATGTTCAGTGCAAATATTGTGGAGAACACAACATGCAGTAGTTATGTGACACACTTTCCCTGGAGAATATTTAAGTGGACAATCTAAAACACGCCACCTACTTTTTAGAACTCCATTTGTCCTTTCCACTGGATTTCGAGTGGAAATGTGCACAGAATTATATAACAATTCAGGCGGTGTGTTAACATGGCCAACAGGAGTCATGAGCCAAGGTTCCTGTGGATATCCAGAATCCCCAATGAGCCAACCTTCTGGAAAATTACCTTCAGCTAAGGCTTCTCGAACAGCTGAATTTCTCCACACATACGAATCATGATTAGAACCTGGAAATTCTGCAACACTGTTAAAAATTTTTAAATCAGGTCCGACAACAAGTTGTACAATAATTGAGTGGTAAATATGACGATTCAGGTATTGTTCTGGGGCAGTTGTTGGAGCTTGAATGCGTACGTGAGTACAGTCAATTGCACCCAAAACGTTTGGAAATCCACGTCTGTGTTTGGTCTGTCCTATTTGGTAGAAGGCTTGTTTCACTGCCAGGTAGTCTTCAGCGTTGGGAAAACGTATAAACTGTGGCGCAAGAGCCACAATAGCCTCAGTAACTTCTCCAATGATACGACATGCTGAGGGTTGTGAAACATTGCCACTGCTTGCTACTAGCCATTGATATGAACCTGTGGCATAAAATTGAAGGGCCACATACAATTTTTGCATGGGTGTTAGATGTTTGTATCGTCCACTTCGCGTGTTTTTTGTCAAAGCCGGTGAAATTAAACCTAAAACATACTCAAATACAATTCTGTTCAACCTAGTATGCTGAAACAGAATCCTCTCGGAAATTTGCCGAATATGAAAGGCGTTCCTCGGTACACGTTCTTCACCATCCTCACTATCACTTTCAGTATCATTTTCGAACAAATCGAGAGCTAAAGCCGCTAAACCTTGTCTTGCACCGGCCGCCATGTCCCACGTCCCACACATAAGATGACATACGGTTGCGCCGGTACAAATTTGAGATGCACCACCGCCATCGAGTGGCGCAAAATACGAGTGCAATTTGACCGCGGAATTTGACTTTGAATTAGGCGCAAACTGAATTGCGCCGTCACCATGGCGACCCCACTTGCGCCGGGTGCAAATCTAACTTGGAATTGACCCCTAAGGGGCCAATTCCAAGTTGGTGGCGCAAGTCACTGGTGCAGCGCAACTTTATAATGCTAACTTGGGTATCAAATGCTGGTTGCTAGGGGTGACGGAATCAACAAACGCAGTTTTGTCGAACTTTCCATTGAAATTTGCACCATGGAGTTGCGGCACCTCTAGTAGGCAGTGCAAGTTGGCGCAATTTATCTCGAAAAATTGCGCTTGTTTATTCCGTCACCCCTAGCAACCAGCATTTGATACCCAAATTAGCATTATAAAGTTGCGCTGCACCAGTGACTTGCGCCACCAACTTGGAATTGGCCCCTTAGGGGTCAATTCCAAGTTAGATTTGCACCCGGCGCAAGTGGGGTTAGATTTGTTAGCGAGACTAACAGGAACAGCAATTGATTTTTATTTTATAGACGATTAAAAAATGGGGGTTGGTGGTACAAAGGTGAAAATTTAGGGTTATGTGTATTTTTTGATGCCAAATCTTAAAAAAATAAAAATTAAAAATTTTGTCCAAAAAATAGACACAATTTTTTTAGGGTGGACCACCCTTATCACTTAGGGGTTTAAAAAATAGTTTACAACCTATTGTCAGACCTACCGAATATACATAAAAAATTTCATACAAATCGGTCAAGCCATTTCGGAGAAGTTGGGTTACAAACACTGTGACGCGAGAATTTTATACATAATGCATTATTATTTTAGAACAAATTTCATTACCATAAAAAAGGTTACACTGACTCGACCTTAACAGATAGACATATGCTGTCGGGGACGTTTCTTTAGAACTTTTAGAGAGGAACAATTTCGTCATACATGATTTTTACGTAACTTTAATCGTTTAAGCAGCGTAAGCAACGGAAGCTGTCAAAGGAGGAATAATTTTCCCGTTTTTCCGAATTTTTCATTGCTACTTCGCTCCTAATGATCGTAACGTGATGTTATATAGCCTATATGTAGATATGATACATGGACTATCCAACACAAAAAGATTTTTTGAATTTGAACCAGTAGTTTCTGAGATTAGCGTGTTCAAATAAACAAAAGCTTCAGCTTTATTATATAAGTATAGATAATAAAAAATAATAAATAACAATTTATATATTAACATTTATGGTTAACATTCTTAAACTTGTGGTTTATGTGGTATATTATTAGCCTATAGGTAAGCAGAGAAAAATGTTGTGCCTCGGTGGGATTCGAACCCACGTCTCCAAGCATTCCGGGCTGGTATGCTGACCGCTACACCACAAGACAACTTATCTTTGCTCTGCTTACCCATGTGTTATTGTGCCGCTACAGTACTCCCCGCCCCAGCGACACAGCGCGCGGTCGTGCTGGGGTGCGAAGGAGATAGATGCTGGCGTCGCCCCTACCACTCTTACGGTCGTTGTTCGAACCCTGGCGGTGCTGCGGACCCCGAACACAGCGGGCACAGGGCGGTGGCAGAAGGATGTTGCGTGCGCGTTGCCTGTCGGAGTTCACCGATATAGGTAAGCAGAGAAAAATGTTGTGCCTCGGTGGGATTCGAACCCACGTCTCCAAGCATTCCGGGCTGGTATGCTGACCGCTACACCGCAAGACAACTTATCTTTGCTCTGCTTACCCATGTGTTATTGTGCCGCTACAAGCCTATATATACCTACCTACATGTGGCTTATCAATGCATTAATATTGTTTAGAACTTGATGGTTATACAGCCTAATATTATATGCATTGAAATAAAATTTTAATTTTCAAGTGTATAATCCTTTGCCCAATAGGAGGACGGGCCCCAACTACAGTATGTCTGGTGGAAGCTAATTTATTTACCCGTTATAACCAGGATCCAAAAGTGACCACGTAGCCAACTACATAATATGCGCCTTACTACTTACATCCCATATATTTATCAGAAACTTCTAAATGAAATAAAATGTAATTGACTAGAAATAACGGCAAGGTTGTGTTAGGCTCATTTGGCAACGTTGTAAATTATCTTAATGCTTTCTTTGAGATTCCCTCTATCGAGTGGTAGATTTAAGAATCGTTTTGTTGCTGTTATGGGGGTTGCCTATGCGCGCGATTGGGTTGGGATCTAAGCTATTCGACGGCGTTTGACGGCCAAATGTTGGTGCACCATCTCTTATTCGCCGGCCTTCGGCCTGTTCGCTCCAAATAATAAGATGTGTCTATCTGTATGTATTTAATCAATGCCTAAGCTCTGGAGTTGTAAAAGTGCGTCATCTTCACGTGATTTTTCAGAGCTGGAATACTATTGCTCAAGGGATGTTTGGCGAGAACGTGCACCCGGTCGGATTTACGCAGCTTAAATTTTAAACTACTTAATAAAACTGGTTGTCGTACACTTAGTATGACATCATTTCAATTTGAGATATCGTGTTGTCGGTGTGTTTCTTGTGTCTATTTCGCTTTTATTTTTATTTTTATTTATTAATATTATACACGACCTGATTCACTGATGTTGAAAATCCAGTATTGCAGATAAACATTCACGTGAAAACGGCAAGGAGAAAATATCTCGATTTGAGTGTATGGTCCTGCCACTTCGTCCCCGTCACGCGATTCTGTGTCTTTATTTCGCTTATACATAGTTTAAGTCTCCAGTTTTGACGATAGCAAAATGAGTATTGCAATACAAGGAAAGAAGGAAACAAACAAAATTTAATTATGCCATACTCTATCACTGAATCAAAATGAGTATCAAAAATTAAATCGTGGACAGAACGAATGCTCAATTCACCAAAAATAAAACACATGAAATAAACACTAGGCAAAAACTAAATACGTCAAAATCAAAATAATAATTCAAGAATAAATATTCAAATTCAGTTTGTAAGAAATTATTAAACCTGTAAGGCCCTCTCGTTTTCGAATAGACGATGTTGAGCCTGAGTAAATAGATTTTCTGCCACTATTGTATTAGAACCAACCATGAACCATGAACACCGAAAAATCGTAACATGTACCTATAGTAGCCCAAAAGCTATAAGGTTATATGACCATCATAAAAGTAGTTGACCGCAAATAAATACCCCCTTTGTGTGGTTCGCACTAAGCTTACCGGTTAGCAATAAATCGTCTTCTAAACATTTCTTGTTCACATTTAACAGGGCCGGCTTTCAAAACGACTGGTTATTTCGGAACCCTTTGTGGCTGCAGGCAGTAGTAGGTAAAGTTTGTCCAGAACACGGAGGTAGAAGAGACCGGAGGGAAGGTGTCGTGAATTTTGTGACACAGACTCAGGCACCGTTTATGACCCTACTTGAAATGCGCGCTGTGCTAAGCTCCACCCTCTAAATGTTTAGCAGTCGTAACCAGTGGCGGGGTAACATATTTTATATTGACTACCTTATATATAAGTCTCTAAATGTTATTATGATCTTTAGTTATAATCAAAGTCTATTCAAATTAAAAACACCAACAACACGCCCGAAACTAAAACAGCACAACTAAACTCAAACTCAAGAACGAACAATTGCATATAAACAGCACGTGTTACGTGATAGTATACGCCACTGGAAATCCAAACCCTGTCAGCTGTTGAGTGTAGGAGCGCGTTTGCGTCGGGCTGACAAATATTGGCGCCTTGTTCAAATAAGATCATAACCGGTGTCTGACCGGGTCTTGAACGATGCCAGAATCGTTACATTGCTAGCATACGGTACGCTCCCTCCGGTCTCTTCTACCTCCGTGGTCCAGAATTATAAGAATTTTATGGACTCCCAACGTTAATTCGTTTTACAGCCCAGGCATCAATTCTATTGTACAGGTAAAGAGCCTGTCAGGGGAAAGCCGATGCTTACTGTACCTGAGTTCGTCCCGCTCTTCAGCTGTACAATAAAAGTGACAACAGGGCTGTAAAACGAATTAACTTTGGGAGTCCATAAAATTCTTATAATTTTAGACAAACTTTAGATATTTACTGAAAGCCACCCCTGAACGAACCGACAGCAGCCGGTCGAGCTGCAGTAGACACGTTATTTACGACCTTAAAACCTTTTCTATTGTAAACAACTTAACTTCGACACAATGGGATCATTGTACTTTATGTACTATGAATTATATAACCAATAAAACCAAAATAACACGCGTTAATTGTACAGTCAAAGTTATACACATTCCATATTAAAAAATCATTAATAGCTTGATATTACACTAATTGCGCTTTGTGACTGTGGCGTCGAATGCGTTTCATTTTTATTTAAACAGTTGCCCTTTAGTGAAATTGCATACTAAACAAGGCTGGTTTGATCCGGATTTTTTTCTGCCTGTCATATACATGTATTAAATGATTTTTCTTATTTTTCAAATAAGGTCTCGCTGCGTTGTTTTATTAATTTCTCAGCATGAAATTTCTGAATCAAATTGGAATTTTTTTCAAAAACTGAATGTGTTGACTCTATATTTCCGACGTGAGGAAGTTCTGTCTAAATAACCGTAGACCATTTTTTTTTTTAATAGAAGAAGAGGTCACAGTGCTTGTACATTAATTTTATAGCACTATTACACAGGTGTGTACCGATACGTTTCTCTTTTTTCAAATTTACGTTTACTGTTATCACAAAAAGGAAGAAGGGCCCATGTAATTTCTCCAAGAACTCTAAGAAAACAGTTACGTGTTATTGTGTCAAATATATATTAGATATACATATTTTTATACATGGTACATGTCTTCTTGTATAGTGCTCCAACTGCTGGTTCGTTTTTATGACTGTATCCTATTGTGAAGGAGTTAAGTGTTCCACAATAGGCCTCTATCGTAAGTAATCCAGCGGTTATAAACCATCAAGGGACCAACTGTCTACACTGCACAGGGCCGTATGCGCCCGTATACCTCTAAGATGATTTATGGCACGGTTATTTACATTTTCAATAGAGTTCCTAATATTTGCGGTAATTGAGATTGCAGTGCCATAAAAACGAAGTCAGAGTTGGACCACTATACCATGATTTACATGAGTATAGTGCTCCAACGAAAATAGTGCATCTTCAACTAATACCACTCAGGATAAGCCGGTTCTGTTTAGGAGAACGGTGAGACAAATTTAATACAATAAAGAGACGCTATTTAAGCCTGGGATGATGTCATAAATTTACTGCATTATTCGTTGACAAGTAGAGTCAAAATTGTAAAACCACCACTGTTGTTGGTGCACTACATCCCCACCAAAAAGGTAATGACGTCATGTCAAAGAATTATCAAATTAATTTGCAATAACAATCCAACTCAATTTTTACCCAGTCCAACAAGCATCAAATTGTACTGAATTCCTTCCTTCACATCCCTTTAGAGCGTAGTGTTTGGTAAGTAAAATAACGTCTTTTGATCATTTGACCTGAACTTAAAACCAAAATAAAACAAATTATAATAACAGTTTATTCAACCAACGAGGCTTTTACAAAAAATAAAAAACACAAAATATACATAAAACCGTATAAATAATAAAAATATAAAATACAAAACCAAGGTAAACGGGGAAAAACATGGAACAGAACATAAACATTATGTCGTATTTAGATTAACAATGGCTAGCAATCTTGGAACGCGTAAAAAAAATCTCAAGTAGCCAACAACATATATTAATAATAATCTGCATTACACCAAGAGACAACAATAAAACATGAAAAACACCTATTTAAAAAAATAGAAAACCACAAAAACAGCTTCAAAATTTCTTTGGCGCGATTAACCCACTCATCATATCGAACGAATTACCATCTGGTTGGACTGACGTTAACGTGCCATCGTCCAATCGAACACTCAGGAACCCGAACTGATCGATCCCCACCACTTTGGCTCGTTTCGACTCGTCTTTGTCCGTTCGTATCGTGACGTCGGCATCACTGCAACCAAACTGTCAATACTGTTCACCACCTTCACCTCAATTTTACCTGTGCAACCAATATTTGTAATACAAATCGAGAAACCCGTCTGTTCCTTTCAACTGGACGTCTTGGTAAAGCTTCTCGATTTCGTTGAACACCATAGCGAAGTATTTTTCATAAGGAATTGGTTTGAGGGTAGTGTTGGTTTCTATACTGGCACGTTCTATCAGGTCGTTTATGCACACCGTGGGGTTTTGGTTGGATAGATTCACACCACAGCCTGCAAAACGGTTTTGAGGAGTGTCCCACAGGGCGCTACTTACGCACCTATATTTACAACAGCAAGGTTGCCGAAAATGATCGAATTGACTAGAATCCCTCCAATTTTGATTGAAGAGTCGGCATAAAGATCGTTAGGCCATTTTATGCCGATGTTTAGTTCTTCGTAACCTTGTTTCTTAATGGCGGAGACAACGGCTACCATGACGAGGTGTTGGATCATGGATAGTGACCTTCCCATGTTGCTGTCTAGGGGTATGTGAATTTGTAGAGAGAAAGCGGCACTGCCCATCGGACTCAACCACGCGTTGCTGGAACGACTCATCCCGTTGGTTTGTTGCCTGGGTATCACAACCAAACCGTGTCTGAGTCTCTTGCACAGGAGATGCTGGGAACTGGTTACAATGTCGACGTAAATTACTAAACGGCCTATGTCTTCAGTCTCCAAGGTCTCGTAGTATTCTAACGTTGAAAAGTTTGAAGGACACGAGTGTATTAAAACTGGCAGACGAATGTTCGAGGCTGTGCCTGGATCTACGTTGTGTCCGCAGAAAACGACGCTGATTTTGTCGCATGTTAGTTGGTTGTTGGATATGCTTTCGCAGTCGGACATCATGTTCATTTTGGCCTGTAAAATTCATGAATAGATCAAGAGTTAAATATTTTTTCTTTATTGTGTATTACTTACATCATATCTCCCCAAGAAAAACCCTGGAGTAAATTGCACCTTCCCGAAGCTCTCATCGCAGCACAAATCCAGATGATTTGACAAAATATCCTTCAAAATCTCCAACCTCGCCTCATTACTACTCAACAACGACCTATACTTATCCTCATCGTTCTCATACTCATCCGGATCGATCTCCAAATGCACCTGCGAAAAAACCGCTCTACCATGCGAACTCTTCACTTTAGCTAACAACAAACTCGGCGTCTGCCAAGTCTCCTCCGTCCCTAAAACTTGCACCTGAATGTTATAGTCTTTATCGTTGTGTCTCAGTTCGACGTTAGACGGAGTCCTCGGGGCCAGAGGACTCGACCCGTTGCTGCTATGGTTCGACTCCGAGTCCTTGCTGAACTGCTTCTTGGCAGGCGAGGCTTGGTAGCAGAAGATGTGGTGCATCATCTTCACCCGCTGCCACGAGCCGTACGAGAAGCGCACGAGCTCGTGTTCGCGTACTTCCGCCGTCGTGAAGGTGTAGAGGACGCTGTACATGAGGTCGCTGCAGAGGCAGAGGAGTTTGCCGCCTGAAAGGAAGTATTGGATGAGGTTTGAGGTTAGGTCGGGGGGGACGCTGCCGCAAACCACGACAATTACGGTGGATTTGTCCCAGCCAGTTTGTTTGGAGGATGTGGGGAGGTCGTAGATTGTGTATCTGGAAAGAAAATGATGTGTTGCAGAGAAGTTGCGGCGATGGATCGTAGCGGATGTTGTGTAATTGTTATGTGATAATACAAAGATACCAAAGTCTACATTATTAATTTAGATTATGACAGCGTAGCTGTTGAAACCCGTCCACTGTCTGTGGAAATTTTCAGTGAACATTGCCACTACCTTGATGCGTTAAAACGTTTCTGTGAATTAATCATTTTTTTTTTTAATACAGAAAATAAGCGTCAAGTATTTATTTTCCTAAAAAATAAATTGTATGCCAGAACTTGAAAAAAAAAGTTGTATATTACACCTTAAAAATAGTTTGTATAGACGAAAATAATTTTAGTGCAAGCTGGTCAAAAAACAACTTTAGTCTTTAACGTTTTTTACATCCTTTCTATCTATAATAATTAATGAGATATCCAGGAACTCACCCTGTGCATTATATTGTTCAAATTTTAATAGTGTTGAATGTATTGACTGAACAGATAAATTCTAATTGGCGGTTTCCATATTTACGATAACCTTTAAGCGTGTGCAGAATTTTAGAGGACTTTTTGTTTGTAATTTCTAAGATAATTCGTAAAATTTAAAAACCAACATCAGTAATCTTAACAACAAGGTTGATCTATTAACAAACCAGCAGGCTAGGCTCGCACTATTTTGCATATTTTAAGTAGGATTTACAGGAGAATTTTGACATGACGTCATCACATCTTTGGTATGGATGAACATTTTTCCTTAGCGTGTTATCATCTACGTGATATTCTTAAATAACTACTACTTACTTTTCTTTATTTAAAATCGAAAATAGCACCCTTTTCACATTATCCTTCGTAATTATGCTATCCGCATACACCAAAACATTTGGTGGTTTTGGTTGTCCAAAATTCATCACACCATGGGCACCATCTTTCACCTTCTCCTTAATCTCCGCTTTCGTTTCTCCTTCGCTGTCTTTCACCGAACTCTGCTTTACTAATTTATTCGCTGTTCTTTTATGTTTATGTTCTTTCTCCCTTTCCTTCTCTTTCTTTGGCACTTCTTCGACACTCTTCGTTTTATGCTTCGTCTTCGTTACACCCTTACTAGTGCTTTCTCGGCTTTTCTTATGGCGTCTATGCTCCGTCACCGCCACGTCAAGCGTATTTTTATCTTCCGGTGATTTTTTCATTTCTTTTTTCACGTCGAGCGTGTGTTTGTCTTCCACATTCTTTTTTGTTTCTTTCTTTATCACTTTCGGCGCTGCAGTTTCGAAACATTTAGGGGAACCGTTTTCGATTTTTATTTTCGGGCTGGAAACGGGAAATGAGTGGCAAGTCATACAAGAGTAGAGTTTTTACTTAGTTATGTCGCGAATTTTTGAGTATAGATCTTTGATTTCCGTGACGAATTTGTTCCAGTGGACTGGGGCGTACGAGTATTTGAGGGTTTGTTCTTTTAGGTACTTTTTGTCGTATTTTATTACCGTGGGAGCGCCTTCGACCTCGACGGCTGAAAAATACACAAATCTGCGTGAGGTTACAGGGACCTTATAACACACTCACTTTCAATTTTCAGAAGTTTCAGCTCATGGTTAATATCGATGTCACTCTGCGAGAACTGATTTATGAGTTTCGTCAAGTGATTCATGTCAGTTTTCACAACAACCTCGAACGAATCGCTCGCTTTCCACCCAACCAACTCCCCGAAATTCTCCACCTAAAGTACAACCCTCTAAAAACAACTCATTAAATTACCCGACCCCTTACTTGAATAATCTCACTCTGATGCTTCGTATAGTTATCCAAAATGGCTTGTACGACTATAAAAATTTTTCCTTCACTAAAAGACACTTTATTGTCGTCGATATAAATCGGAAAATATCGCAGATTCTTCGGGAAAGCGATCCACTGGCTTAGATTGAGTTTTTGCTGGAAGGAAAATTTGATACGAGAGAAAATTTCCGAAAAGTCCTACCTTTGGCACCACCGTGCACGCAATCCGATTTTCCGTACGAAAAAGTAGGTTTTCCAAGCTGCGGTGTTTGCGGCTGTCGTGCACGGACGCCCCTGAACACACCAAAAGGGCGTTTTGGTCGTTTAAGGTGCCGTTTAATTTGGAGCCGAGTGTACGTAGACGCCACCACTGCATTATGGTGGCGTAGGCGTAGCATAGAGTGAAGATCATGCTGTTCTAAGGGACCATTATATCTGCAACGAATTAATTTATAATTAAAATCAAGTACGTAAGTATTCATTGTTATTATGACTACACAAAAAAAAAAAATTAAAAAAAATAATAATAAGAATAAAATTGTAAAATATTTATACAGGTCTCACAAACACTGAGAGGTTGGAATACTGTAAATGTCATTGTTTTTAGCTTAGAGAGGAAATCCTTTATTTTAACATACTAAACTTTTTTGTTTGTAAACGACATCTAACTGTTTTTTGACACTATATATTTTTTTGAAATTCTTGTAGAACTTGTTTTTCGAACGCATTATGTTACGAAAACACACTTGTTTATATTTCGTCTAGACTGTAGGATGATCGAAATCAGATTAACGATTGCTCCAAAAATATAAATGCATTGATAAAGGATAAGGCTATGCCCGTATTAGTCGGTTTTCCCATTTGAAAATGTTTTGACCAAATATTGATATTATATACTTCAGGGGCGAAGGAAGTTCTGTCGAAATAACCTCCAATCAATTTTTCCATTCCCCTCGATGTCTTACTTTTTTCTTCCAAGTTCTGAATTTCTTTCTCTGCCTCCTCTTCTCCCTTTAGGAGTTTTTAATCCCCTTGTCAAATTTATAAAATCAGACAAATGAGCATTCGTGTTGATTTTTGTTCAAAGAACTCCTATAATTCCAATAACGAGGTGCTTCTAATTTTACGTATCTTTCTTGGTTTATGGGTTCTAAATGCCTTAGCCAATGGATTCTTCTCATGTTTATGAAGTTATTTATGGTGTGTCTTTTAACAAAATTTTCGTTAAAATATTCCTTTTTGTAGGATTCCAATCTTTGTTTTTTTTTTTTATTACATTATTCATGTCTCCGGCGTATAAGCTAGGGTGGGTTTTCCATACCTTTAATTTTGTTTGTGTTATATTTACGTTCCAAAAACCTTTGTAGTTTTCCAGCACAGTTGCGCTTTGCGTAAGTCAATTTCATTTCCCTCTTGACATTTATTTATCAGAGTATTCCTACATACATAAAGCATTCAATTTCCTCAAATTCTGTTATGTCCCATCTGTCTCCATTCTTGAAAATTATTTTTATTTTTAGTTCGACACTTCTTGTTCTTTGTTTCCATACTAGTACACGGTATTTGAAACCTGATTAAAATGTAGATATAATATTATCACGAGGTTTGTAAATTTCATATTTTTCAAAATATTTATGATTGAAAATGGACATAATTGTTGCTAGGCGTCCTCTGAGGAATGTACCGATGTTTATAAGACCTTGTAACAAAATTACAATTTTAATTATCGATAATTAGGCGAAAAAATCAATCGGTTTTATCAGTATTGTGGCAGAACTTGTGTTCGAGGGGATATTTAATGGCTAATTACAATCTGAAATCAAAATATTTTGAAAACACTGTGATAATGAAAGATAAAGTATATTAATAAATTAGTACTTTGTAGTTAATTCTTTAAAATGTGTTAAAGAGAGACATAAGATGCGTATAGGTGGTACGTATTGTTGTTTGCATAATTAGTGCCTTGAGCTTCCACAATCTATAAATTTAGAAACTAAACATTCGCAAAAGTTAAAAAAACTTTTATAATCGACAGACTAAGTGTAATAAAATTTAACCTTTGCCACGTTATCTAATTTTATTGTTTTGTTTCCCAATTTTGGTACCAGCGATTATTTGGTGTGTTAACTTTGCACTATGGTTGTTTGTTGTTCCTTCTTTTCCATGTTTATTTATTTTATTTTTAAGGTTCGTGGAATGTGTTAGAGAAAACATAAACCACTGACCTGGTTTACTGCCGCTACAATGATGCATCGCGATTTTTTCTTTTATCAGTGTTAAAAGAATCTTTAGATATCCGAGAAAAGTAAATAAAATTGAATAATATGTGTTGGAGGATGGCGCTTAGCAACAAGATTTAAAAAAATTGGCGCAATTTCGGTGCACTCGTGATATCGTTGATGTTTCCAATTGTCATTCTAAATATTACTGCCCTTGAAAATTCTTTTTATTTTTATTAATCTAGAGTAAATAAATAACAATATGAGTATTTTTAACTACCAGTTGTTGAATAAATATTCATTGGGGAGAAAAAGTGACAATATCGTTAACAATAGAGATGAACTTTTGACATAGGATTTGTGTTTATTACTAGAATAAATTAATGTGTACATTAATAGTGGTAGCGATACACAATGCTTTCTCAATGTTCAGCTAATGTTCAAAATTTTCAAATTTGCTGTTTTTTAAATATAGATGTTTTATTTTTTAAGAACTTCAAACAGTAACAACAAATAATTATTTATTAAAAACAATTTATAACAACAAAGCGCGATTGACTCTTGACTACTATATTTAAAATATATAAAAATGTATAATTCAGAACATGTATTTTTCAAGATGACTGCACCAACATACGGAAAATGTCAACAATATTAATTTTGGTGTGCACATAAGTAACATCTCATCTCAAGGCATATTTTTCAAGTTTTCTATTTAATATTTGTTTTTGAGATGACGTCATCCATTTTCTGGGAGCTTATAAATAATTTAGAGTCAGTAAAACAAAGTACGCATCTGCTTATGCGGCTTATTTTTAGACTTAAATCTACTAGAAAGGTGATATTAGGAAAAGATTACTTTTGTTGAAAACGTAAGGATTTATTATTTTATAAGTTTTCCAAAAAAATTGTGTGACACGTCGGTACTACTTGTACTACTTTCTGGGTCTTATGTTCGATTTACATCTTTCATTTAGTTTGATATCGTAAAATTTATTTTGTTTGTTGTATGATTCCTATGCTAGGTATGTGATTTTTGGTATCTACGGAGGAAATGTTACACTTGTAGGCAAATTCCACAGTACCATTTTAGTAAAGAAGTATTATGTTCTGTTGTGTAACATTCAACAACACATAATCGTGTTGTTGAACATTACATCCTTGAAACAAAAAACAAACAGATTTCGCAGAATTAAACCGGCAATGATTAAACCTTAATAATAATTAAATTAAAGTTTTATTTTTTAGGATTTAGAGCTAAACGAAGAAAACTAGTGGTTTTCAAAATTTTGTAATTCATTAGAACTTCTTCCGCACAGGTGTGGTACAAAATGACTACCGGAGACACTATAGTCCCGGTTATTTAAATTCACGTGTAGTCCTATGATCTTTTTCTTAAATGTATATAACAAATAAAACTGGGAAATGTTTTAATATTTGGCCACAATATGTATTAATAGCTTTAAACCGAACAAAATCATAAAAACTATCGAACCTTTTAGGTACCGTATACACATAATTGCACATCCGCCAGACAGATGTAATCTGTTACAATTAGATGCAATTTTATCGATTTTGGTTGACGTCCAACACTTAGAGGAAACTCTGGTCTGAAAGGTCAGTTTTGAGGATGCGCTGGTGGTGATAATATAGCGGTTGCAGTGCCAATCTGCCTTTACAAACTGCGTCGGATTTTAAAAACTAGAACCTGTAATTTTTTAGGTGATAGCGTTGTAGCTTTTAGAACTTCGATGAGCCGTTTCAGACGTTTACAAAATAAAACAGTTCATACATATATATTTTTTAACATTCTGAAATAAAAGAATATTACTAAAGTCTAAGAAATAACCACATCTCAAGAGCGGATTTTTCAATGTAGAGGGGAAATAGGTCAATTTAAGGCCAGTCTCTACGTTTTTCTAACGTGGGGTGTTCAATACATTTTCAGAATGTAATATATCTATTATTAACAGACACTATATAATGCAAGAGCAATTTCATTTAAAAACAGTCGATCATCATTTGGTTTTTAGCATTTTGGTGAAAATTTTCATTACGCATGTTTCAAAATCAATGTTTTTTTTTTTCATAAAAATTGCTTTTCCTGTATCTGACTTCTGACAAAAAAGTCAATAATATTTCTTGAATAGTGTCTAGATTTCTGCAAGCTAAAAACAGTGGTGAAAACCACGTTCCGAGATTTAAATAAATAACAGATTTTGTATTTTGCATAATCTCGAGATGATACGTGTCAACAAACGGTTAGTCGAAGACGAAATCGTATTTTTATAATAACCAAATTAAAAACAAATAAATTTAATTTCCGTTAAATTTGGGCCAGAAGGGGTCCTTTAACTACGGAGGCGTGATAGTCCAGGATCCCAAACATATCGGTATAAACCGTCTCTGCGCAAGTACGCACATTGTAAAATATATTTACAGCACATTACCAACGGGAATAGTGGTATTGACAAATATGCGTAGGTAGTGTTTCAATTGTTTATGTTTATACATCGGAAGAATGTCACGTAGGCATTTGTTTTATTTGAATGACTTTATCGCCTCAAAACAAGTGACTAAAATTATTAATAAGTCTCAATTGAACAAAATATTCTGAATAAAGACGAGCGTATTCCCACATTTTCGAGAAAATGGGGTGGCTCGTTCTTAATTTGATCAATAATAACTTGACTGATCATTATTTTTTTTTTGCACAACCCGTATACGTAACATTAAAAATAAGATTTACTTAACAATCTTTTGAGATGACGTGCGTGATCCTTTTTTAAATCAAATGAACAGGCAACAACAACAACAAAGTTTTCAGTCACAAATTTTTGTCTAATAAACTCGCCGACAAACAGTATTCTGTGAGCCAATTTCTTATTTTATTTGTCTTAACTACACACTACACCCTACACGCTCATTAACGCGTTGCTTTTAATAGCCGACGCTGTTTATAAATTTAGTTTTTGTGTGTATATCGTTCCATTTTGCTCCACTTTCCGTACAACCGGTTGAAATTATCAGAAACCCATTACTCTCATTTTTACGCACACAAAGTGAAAATAAGTTTTAATTAGTGATTCAGACCAATAAATCAAAGAATACAGAGATAAATTAAAGAACACTATCAATTAACAAATTTAAATACATTATATTTAAAGACCGCATTTAAAATGATAATAGATACTTCAGCCGTTGTTCTAGAATACTTTTGAAAAAGCAAACAAGGGGGGCCCCAATAAAATGCAGAAATACTAACGGAATAATTTGCTCAGATAATCTCCTTTTTATCAACATTTAAGTTCATTGGCTCTAGCGACCACACTGAATTCATGTATTTGTTTATATCGAATCAATAGAACAGATTTGGAGAAAGAAAACGAAAAACAAAATAATCAGAACAACACGAAGTGCAAACAAAGTAAAAATAGAATTAAAGGTGAAACCAAAAGAGAAAAATGATTTAAAATTTGAACGGCAAAGTGTTCCCTTCTTGGCACAAACTGTCTCCACTTTATCTTATTGTTGTTAAATTTTTTTTTCCGACAAATATCACTGAATAATAATCCAGAGAAGAACGAATCACAAAGTGGTGGGGGCCACTCGTTCAATTATTCCATTTGAGGAGCTGACCAAGCTGAGATTTGCTCCAGTATAGCCCTTAAAAGTGCATTTTCATGTATCTTACGGATCCCGGCGACCAATTGTTCGCTTACAAGTGCGAAAACAACAATAGTTGTCCTTTTAAAGTGATGAACGGGAAGATTAAAGACTTCAATTTCAACAATCAGCGATGCAAAAAACCAGGTAGTTTTTTCGGATTTAATCGTGTTTTTGTTAAACATTTTTCATTTGGTAGATGGAATCATGGGCGACAGTGAGTCAAGTGGTGAGGTGAAAAGTGAAGAGGTTTTAGCGCTTCGGGTTAAATTCCCCACAAAAATTCCGGTAAGTGATCGCCTAATAATAAAAATCGAAAAAAAAAATCCAGGATTGTAGATTATAATCAAACGGTACTCGAAGGAAGTGCTTCTACCCGAATTAGATAAGTACAAGTTTTTGGTGCCTCAAGAGATCACCATGTCGCAGTTCCTGACTATCATTAGGTAGGGTGTCGATCGTTCATTTCAAGGGGGCTGTATTAGTTTTTTCCAGGAACAGGCTTCAATTGGGTCCGAACCATGCACTGTATTTATTAGTGAACAATCGATCGATGCTCAATCTCTCATTAACTCTGGCTGAAGCTTATAGTGGGCACGCAGCCCCAGACGGGTTTCTCTACATAACCTATGCCTCACAAGAAGTATTTGGTAGCGCCTGAACCGAACCTTTGGGATTACTCTTAATGTACATAGTATTAAGTGTGTGTGTTTTGGCATTACTTCCGTAATGTTTCTTGATTGAATTTTATTAGTGTATGAAGTTTCGAATGAATTTGTTTTAAATATACGGATTTGAACTGTGAATGGGGGCACTCACCTGGTGATTTTTTCATGAGAGTTGACTAAAACTGGGGCTCATTTTCACCGATACGGGATATATTTAGCTCGAAAAGCGGTAAACAGCGGAATTTACCAAGAGAAACGCAAAAATTGATAAAACAGAGATTTTTGCGATGCGGCACTTTTTAGTGGCGCAGCATTGGCAGCCATGATGTAGAATGACAGAAAACTTTAGCAAAAAAAAACAATAACCCACGAAAATGATAATAATAGTGTAATCAAAATCTGAAATAAATAGATATAACAAAACACTTGGTTTATTTATATTTTACGAAATATATTGTTAATTATAATAGGTGGCGCCACAAGTCACATCTGCAAAATTAGAATATTTAAATAATAAGAAACAAGTCCAACGCAATAATTCCATCTAAATTGTTTTAAAACACACAATCGTAACTTATTTTTAACTCCAAAATGAATTAATGTGAAATAATTAAAAATTAATTTTACCAGTGATACCTATGGCGATACCGTTGGTAATCCTGCCTATCACACTCTTTTTGACTTCTGACTTGTCAAATCTTAACCAAACGTCAAAAGCACGTTCCAGGATCGTGTTTTGATCCCAGGGGGCCCCCATATTTAACAGACGATGATCGCAACTCCTCAAAGATGAGATTCTCAATGTTGCGGTTTTTCAACGCAACAACCACCAATTATGTGTTCGGCCGTCTCCGCTCGGAAGCTCCCATTTATTGGGAAACTCTAAAAACCATGAACAGGGAAGCATTCCATAAGAAAGTCGCTAGTTTGAACAGCTGGTACACGAAATTCCTCGGTTTAGACGAAGTTAAACTATATCAAGATCGAGTGGTTGCCTTACAAGAACGATTACTTGAAACTCAAGAACAACGCCGTGAAATTGGTAGAAGTCTTGCTGAAATACGTAAAAAGTCAAATCAACTACAGGATGAAATCCACAAAGTGAAGCGCCAGGACGATATTGAGAAGTTTTTGACTTTAATGAAAGAAGAGACTGAAGTACTAAGGCAGGAGCATGAGGTGTCAAGATCGTTTCAAGATTGTGATCAAGCGGAAAGGGAGTTGTTTACGGCGTTTACAAACGCTGTAAGGGATTCGCATGAGAAACAGAGGGCGCAGTTAGAGTATACGAAATATTTTGGGATTATTTTGAGTATTGCAGGGAGTTTTTTGGCGTTTTGTTACACAACACTGAGGAAGGGTGATTTGAAGAGATTTATTGAAGAGAGTTTGGAGAAAAATAATGGATCAAAAGAACCCATAACTACAACTGGTGATAATAACATTAATACAGATTTGATTAATTTTGTTAAAAATGAGACTGCACGACTGAGTGATTTGATTAATTTTAAGCAAAATGAAGTCAGTTTATTAATTGAAAGAGAAAATGAAACCAAAAAGAAACAGTTTTTGTATTATATAGGAGCTGGTGCGTTGCTTTTAGTCGTTTTTAAAGTGATTTCCACAAATTAAGTTTATAAATATTTTATGTAAAATAGTAGACATAAGTAATAAAATTAAAGCTCTAAACCTTGTGCACTAAATCATTGTGTGACATCAACATGGCCATGGTGCTGTATCCTTTTTGACACAAATTACAAAAATGGGGCTTTTCAGGATTAGGGGTGTCTGCACTGTGTTGTTTCATGTGTTGGGTCAAACTATACCTCTGTCGACACGCATATGGACACTGACTACACTTGAACGGTTTTTCCCCTAGAAAAGACAAGCACAATTTTTGATACTTCTACCAACCTTACAAACCTGTATGTATTGTTATATGTGACTTCAAAGTTGACATTTGTTTGAAACCCTTATCACAATGTGAACACTTGTAGGGTCTTTCATCACTGTGCCTTTTCACATGGTCTGACAGATGACTCATTTGTTTGAACGCTTGATCACATTCGGTACACTGATACGGTTTTTCCCCTGTATGATCGCGCATGTGCAGACGCAACTGCGCAGGTCTACAGAAGCGCTTTGGGCATAAATTGCAACTTACTGGTCGACCGGTGTGAATGAGCATGTGCGTCCTAAGAACACTCGTTTGACTAAAACCCTACAATTTTTCACCATATAATGTTGGCAGAACCGAAAACGGGCGCTTTTACCCGACCACATATGTTGCAGACGTACGGTTTTTCCCCGGTGTGTGTGCGTTCGTGCAGTACCACATGATTCCGATTTCTCATTCGTTTATCACAGAACCGACATTTGTAGGGGGTTTCCCCAGTGTGGGTACGCATGTGTAGACGGAAACGGGACAACGAGCTACCAACATATCAAAATATGTGTGGTGTTACCAATATTATACGCACAGTGCTACCAACCTAAATTTTTTTCCACAACGCGTGCACAAAACTCCTTCGCTTTTTTTGTTTTCGAGGGGGTTGCTCGCGTGGAACTTGGCCAAGTGGTATTCCAAGCTTCTTACGCGTTTCTTACACACTTTGCAGAAGTTCTGTGGTTGATATCTGATGACTATGTTAGTGAGACGTTTCAAAATTGTTTACTTACGATTTAATTGGAGGCAATGGGGTTTGCTCTTCAACTTTATGTGCATAGTGTTTGCGTAAATGCATCCGTAGCAATTTTGGAACAGAGAAATTTCGAGGACATAAATGGCATTTATAGACACGATTGTTCATATGGGCCCTTATGTGTTTATCTAAAGTCCGACGCACGATAAAACCTTTATGGCAAATATGGCACCTGTGAGGCTTTTCGCTGGAATGGCTACGTAGATGCTCGAAGAAGTGCCCCCCCATGTTGAATTGTTTTCCACAGAATTTACACCTAAAACGGTCTCTAACATGGATTTTGGAATGGTGAGATAAATTGTCAACTTCTATATTGCAGAGGGAACACCAACGGTCTTTCAATTCTCTAAAATTTAGTGTTTTTAGTTTTCTTTAAAAAAGAATTAAACATACTTGTGTAATCGCGACACGTGAATAGATAATGCCCGTGAATTACTGGTAACAAATCCACACTGGATGCAATCAACATGGTTATACAGCCTTTGGTACTCGTTAATAGCTTCCTCAACTTCACTATGGGAAAACTCAAGGAGTTTCTTTGACGTCCGCACTACAGGATTTACAATGACTTCTTTGTTTTCTTCAATTTCTTCTACTTTACATTTCTCTTCAGGGCACCGTTCTTCTCCTGAAACCTATACCTCCATCATAGCCAGTTATGGAGTTTCACAGAGATTACCACATATGCTGTGTTCATACATTCCCGAATAATTTCATTCGACCTTTGTATTAATAATTGGAAGTCGTAAGATAACCTTAATTTTTCTTCGCATGTTCTGCATAGATAAGACGGAAGGTATTCATTAATTTCAATCTACAACAACTAATTTTTTCACTTGGAAGGTTGAGATGAATTGATCTAACCTCAATGTTTCCGACTGAAGACAACATAGCGATTACTTCGGAAGTTTGATCAGTTTTTGGGGTGAAATTTAACATGTTGTCGGTTTTTAGTAAACAGGAACGGCAAACGTCGCTCAAGCGAACTTCCGTGGTCTGAAAGGGCTCCATTTATCAAAAATCTTGCAACTTTTTTGTTGATATTTGTTATGACAGGTATTTGACAGATGATAGAAAAATGTATACCAAACCAATTCAATAATGTAACAAAAATCCCTACAGTAAAATGGCCGACTTGTTGACATGGCCAGCCAAAAATCTGGATTTTCCATAAATTTAGGAAAACAGTAGTTAGTTGTAACGCACGTCTACAAGAACAATCAAAATCCGCGAAATTATGTGATATCGTTTACATTGTTCCTTTAAACAGTACGTATATGGTTAGAATTTAAGTCCCGTGTATGAAGAAGGGCCTTTTTCAGGACCGTAATCATGGCTAGGATACGTTGGTTAACGAGGACTTCTCGAATAGTGGCATTGTGCAGTGCTGCTAACTTCATAAATAGTGCAGATCGGGTCATAATGCCCATCGCTATTGTTCCCATGACAGACATATTCCAGTGGAGTCTGCATGCACAGGGGTGGATTCTGTCGGCTTTCGCTTTTGGTTATTTCACTAGTCAAATTTTAGGTAACTCATACTCTTTCTATTGCGTTCACAAGTAATAAATTCGTTTGTAGGCAGTTTCTGGGCCAGCAAGCTTGGCGCCAAGAATGTCCTAATCTGCAGCGTTTTGTTGTGGAGCATCGCTACATTCGTCACCCCCTTTCTGGCCCACAGCCTCACCGCCCTCGTCATCTGTCGCATAGTCCTAGGTTTCGCAGAAGGCCTAGGTTTACCCACAATTTTCCATTTGTTCGCCCATAGTATACCAGTGGAAGAACGTTCACGAGCTTTCAGCTACCTATTGGCTTCAGGCTCTGTTGGACAAACTGTGGCCTCAGTACTGTGCCCTCATTTAACCTGGGACGCGTGTTTCTACTGGTTCGGCTCTTTTGGGTTCATATGGGTAAGCCTGTGGTACTTTGTCTATCCTGAAGATGCATTTAGTAGTGAAGATACCATTCCCTTACACATGCCCAAAGTGATTTCAAGGAGTATCCGCTGGGCTGACTTCATCCTGAGTAAACCCTTATGGGCAATTTATGTTGCTCATTTTGCAATGAACTGGTCCTCGTACATTATAATGCAATGGTTACCTACATATTTAGCACGATATTTGGGGGGAAATGCCCACAGCTTGAGCCTCACGTCCGTTCCATACATTGTCAACTCAATTTTTGGAGTGATCAGCGGGCATGTGGCCGATGGGTTACTTCTCAAGAACTGGTCAGTTTTGAACGTCAGGAGACTTATGACCAGTGTGGGTCTTGTAGGACCAGCGCTATTTCTGGCTATTTTCTGCGTCGTGGACCATTTGCCCTTCGCCGTGGTACTGGTAAGCATTTCCATGGGACTGTCAGCGTGTAATTCAGCAGGACATTTGAGTAACCATGTGGATGTGGCGCCGAATTATGCTGGGACTACTTTCGCTATTAGTAACACTATAGCGACTATACCAGGTATTTTGTGTGGGCCAGTGACGGCATCCTTGGTCACTGCCTTTGATGGCAAATGGATGACTGTGTTCCTTGGAGCGACGTTCGTTAATCTGATGGGTGCTTTTATTTATTTCACGAATAGTGTGGCTACACAAGTGTTGTAAAGTGCGAAATGAGATTTTATTCTAAGGTTATGTATAGAAAGTTGTATATTTATGTAGATAAGTCTAAGTACATAATAAAAAAGTGAGAAATGCGTCTGTTTTTAAATTAGCCCCGCCCAGAAGAGCACAACGAAACTGATTTTGCAGCCAGTCATAACATAAGAATTGTATACTTCGCCCCTACACGTAGGTGCTCATAGAAGAAAAAAATTGTACATCGTTCTGAAAAAGCTGGGAATTTACACAAAATTATTGTGTATAATAACTCAAAGCACCAAACAGTACTAATTACAGACTGTTTTTTCGAGCGGTTTCGTAAAACTGAGTTTTCGGAACTGGGAGTTTTACCATTAATTTTTTATTTATCTCTAAGAATTCTGACAACTGGCAACATTTTTGTAAATAGCGCTTCTGTAGATCATAAAATTATCTACAAGTTCTATTAATAACTTAAAAGTTCATTTTAGACCAGTGGCGGCTCGTGAGATTTTTGGTAGGTTGGGCAAGGTGGTGAAGCTGTAGGTACCTAATCAAAAGTATGTTTTCTATGACGAGGCTCTTACAGCCTAAAATTTCCCGGATTTAAAGAATCTCTTGATTCATTGTTACCACGGAGTGCTTATTCTTGGGTTGCTAAATAAATGATCGTATCAATCAGCCTCGTTATCATTTCTCTATTTTATTTAACGAGTTCATTATGTTTTAAAATACTTTAAACATGGGCTGAGGCTATTGAACTTTGACTATTATTTTTCCTAAACAATTTAAATTTTAAAGACGCATGAGTATACAGGGTGTCTCAGAAATAAGTACATTAATTTTAACCAGTAACAGAACTCGTGAAACGGAACAACTTTTTTATTTAGCATTTTTTCGAAAACTCAAGTCAAATTTCGAATTTTCCCACCCATATATTCACGAGCCGTCTATGTTCACCTTAAATAATAACTTAAATAATAGCAACATTACAACAATGAAGAAGGTACCGTAACAACCGTTTTGACACTGACAATCATTTTTATGTCAATGTTTTTATTAAACGTTGTCTCTTTAAAGTTTGTTTGGCACAGATTTCTAATTCATAGACGAAATGTGTTGAAATGGCTTTGTTTTCAAATCAGGAATGCACCGATATCGTTTTAACGTACGGTGAAGCTCCGGGAAACGGCACTCGCGCCCAACTAATTTTTTCAGAAAACCTCCCAAATCGTCTGCCAAATGTGCGTAGTTTTAAGAACGTTGCAGTATTTTCGAGAGTTCGGATATTTTAAACCGGCACCTCAGAATCGGGGTAAGTTACGTAGTAATAGAATTGCTAATATTGAAGAGGCTGTTTTGAAGAGTGTCGAAGCTCGACCGGGCACTAGCACGTATCACTGTCTAATGTGATGTATCGGAGAGTAGTATTTGGAGGATACTCAGAGAACAAATGTACCCCTTTCAGGACCAGAAAGTTCAGTTATTGAAACTAACAGACTTACCACGTAGGCAAAACTTTTGTGAGTGGGTTAATAGAAAAATAAACGAACAAGCAAATTTTGTATCTCTTATACCATCAACTGATGAGGTCGGTTACACGAGGGAAGGTGTTCAACACCCACATTTGGGCCGATGAAATTCCGTACGCCATTAGGGAGCAGGATTTTCAATTTCTCTCTAAATGTTTGTCACATTGACAAGATTAGGAAAATACGTATCCTAGTAACTGTTTTTGACCGTAAATTATTAATTATAATAATTATTAGTGTCCATGGGTGACTGAGGATCCATGGGCGGGTAACCTTAATTGGGGTATAACTTTAACAATTTTTAACTTGATAATTAAAAAGTTCTTGACAAAACTCTACTAAAAAAAGTTGTTGAGTTCAATGAGCTCTATAACTGATTAAAATTAATGTACTTATTTCTGAGACATCCTGTATATGTTGTTCTAAGTGTCCATGTTTTTGCAATGATTCGAATAGGTGTTTTTAGGAGATTATCTGTCTAATAAAAATCCCGAACGGCAGACAGATGGACAGACAGACAGACGGAACGGGAGACCTAGTTCTTCGTCCTCTAGGGGTCATGAAAGGTCGAGAAAATGTAAAAGTAGAGAGTCGGCCTACGGACTCGATTACAATACTTCCTTTGCTTACGCTCGGGAAGTAAAAAGTACTTTCCCGTTTCCGACTGTCTGTCTGTCTAGTGTCGTAAAGACACGTAATCTCCGAAACTGCTAAACTGATTGTTGTCAAATTTTGTATGTATATTAGAAATATCATGTAGATAGTTAACTGCTAACCAAAATTTGCCTAATCATCCCCAGCAACAATTTGATAATGTCATTTTAATGAATGGTGTTTTAAAATGATTTGAATGTTGCACAAAAATATACTCATATACTTGTAGTATACAAATCCGTTTTAGTTTTTTCGCTAAACCTTCAAATTTTCGCAAAAATATTTGCACGGTATAACAACGTTTTATTCCCAACACGTTTTGTACGTTTCCAAGACGCAGTGGGTGTATCGCGTGTATTTTTATTGGTCAAATTAGGAACGAGTCACCCCACTTTGTCGAATATGTCAAGAATACGCACGTCTTTATATAATAATGATAAAATAAGAATTATAATGTTCAGAACAAAATGTTCGATTGTGGTTTAATTAATAATTTTAAGAGAAGACAACCTCTTTCAAATCAAACTAATTTCTACGTGACATTCTTTCGATGTATAAACATAAATAAATACTTGAGCTTCAGATTGCTATTACCTAGTGCTGAAGGACAAGGGGTGTTATTTGTGTCTCTGGTTTTTACTTTACAGCGGTTATCATGAAACGAAAATCGTAAAATCAAATTTTATAATTTTTTTAAAGAGGTGGATTGGTCGCATTATACTTACAGCCTTCGACCAATTTTTTATTGATCAAATTAAAAACCTCACTTTTTCGAAAATATGAGAATAACCACGTTTTTATTTAATTATGATGAAATAAGAATAACAATAATCATATTCAAAACATTTTGTTCCATTGTGGCTTAATTAATAATTTTTATCTTCTGTTTTGAGGAGACCACTCATTCAAATTAAACAAATTTCTACGTGACATTCTTTCGATTTATAAACATAAACAATCAAAGTTAAGCATGTACACTGATAATACTACACTCTCTTCCGTTGGTTATTAGCTTTGAATACATTTCATATTGCCTGCATATCTGTGATGGATGGCACTTCCTTAGAATTTGTACCCCTGCGGCGCAGGGGGTTCGAGGTGTATTTACACCACTGATTTTTACTACATATTATAATTGTTATCAGAAAACACAAATTTTCTATAATTTTTCAAAAAAGCGGAATTTGTTGGATTGTACTTCAAGCGCGAGGGAAGTTCTGTCGAAGTACCCTTGACCATTTTTTTTATTTTCCTACTTAATTTCTCCTGATACTTTTTTCTATTATTGGTTCGTCAAGTTTATAATTATTTATCCTCTCTTTTATTTTCTAACATTTTTTTCTTCAAAGTCTTTTGCTTTTACCTTATTTAGTCCCATGCTGAGAATTCTGAAGAGTATTAATTAATAAAGAAAATAAAGTCGGTAGCGATTCATGGTCGGTGCGGACTTTATTTCCTTTATTAATTGATACTCTCCAGAATTTTTCTTCCTTATTCTGTTAACCTTACCATCAAAAGATACTGTTTTATTCTTCACTTGTTTGAGTTTATTTTTATTTATCATTAACTGAGTTATGCCATTGTCTTAATTTCCGCCTCATCTCTATATTATATTTTTCCATCTTCAGATATTTATTATTTAATTCCCGTACGCGATAGATAGCATAATATAAAAACATCAGATTAAAAATTAAATAGTGCACACGTTGTTCTTACCTACCTAATAATAAAAAAAAGGTAGGTGCAGACATGAAGGATCACTGCCAACGTTAGTTTATTTTATAATGAACACCAACTCTTGGATCTCAATTTTCACTTTTAACTTCCGTGAACATCATTTAATAAAGCGACGAAATTTAATACTGCAGATCATAAAATCGACCATCTTTCGATTTGTGGAAAGAATAATCGACATTTTTGACAAAAATTTGTATATGGAAAACAAAACACGTTTTGGTAATTTTTTTAATACAAATATAACTAGCTCGCAACTTATTCTCTCTATTTGGACCGACCCCTGACCTTCCCTACGAAATAAATTTTCACGATATAAAAACAAGCTTTATTAGTAATTTTCTTTATTTTACAAATTTTGCAAAGGCACAACTCTCAAAAATAACAAACATTGTAACAATAAAGTAACTAATAGAACAACCAAACGAAAGAAAAAAGAAAAAACTTCATACATGCGCAAAACAAACTTAACACTAGACTTACATACATACAGTGTCTTTTTTTTTGTAATTTTACACCCCCTTTCTATATATATATATTGTCGCGATAATTTTCCACATGAACAAAACGGAGGCGGGGGCCCACCCAACCACACAAAATAAATTGCACGCTACATTACATCCTAGACAACCAATAAGAAATGAGCAAATGGCGTTTTTACACTAGTGATAGGTGAATCGAACCAAGGTAAAAATTCGACTAAAAACGAAAACTGATCGTCAATTGTAGGAAAACGGCGGCCGCCATATAATAGAAACCGCGACACTGCCCTCACTCGTCTCCCCTATCAACTATATAACAATAACGATTCAACATTACGAAACAATGAATAGACTCAAAGAGACATTAACATCGTGTAGCAGTGTGACGCACTTAAGTCCTGCCTTAAGCGTATAACTCAGTCTCTTCGAGCAGGAGAAGGGATAGGGGGAGGGACGACACCATCATAAGTACAAACCAGTGTCTCAACAGTCTCTTGTGTGCACAAGACTGCGTGCGTCACACTCAACGTCAATCACCACAGACCTAAACCGATGGAAGAGAAACGTCTTAAGTACATAGGTAAAGTCTTCTTCATCACATGATACTGCAACAGATCGCACGGTACGGCAAGTTCCCGTGCTTCGGGTAGCTGTTCTTCAGTTCCTCCACCTCGGCCTGTATCTTCAGGAAGTCTTCGTTCTTCCCGTATTGACTCTCGTACGTTTCGAGCACTTCTTCTGCTTCTTCAACCGAAGAAACCGAAGTCTTCCGGTCGTCGCATGTGTAAACGGTCACTTCGTCATCATCGACCCCGAACTCCTTGAAGATGGCGCTGGGACTCTTCAGGATCTCCACATCCGGGGTCGTCTCGCGCGTTTTCGTCATCCACTCCTTCACTGCACGCGTGATGGGGTAGGGGTCGCTTGGGGCGGCGGCTTCTGCGGCGTCACCACCCCCACAACTGTCGGGGGTGGTGGATTCACCTAAAAAATCGCCTGGTTTCGGGTCGGGGGTCTGTTGTGGCTTAATTGGCGCAGTCGTCATCAGTCTGCCAAAATCGGGGGTCTTGATATAGGGGTGGTTCTTTTCGACGCTTGATTCTCTGCTTGATATGTTACTGATGATCGTTTTGAAGAAGTTGTCGTTGGACTCGATGTTCATCGACTTGATCTTCTCCTCGAGGCTGCTGTACATACCACGCTGGATCATCTTGTCGAGTTCTTGGGAGACCTATAAAAAAGATGTTAATGAGTTCTTTGTGTTTTCCAGACTTCTACACTCACCTCTAAATTTGTTTTTTCCAGAGATTCGTCCAAAAGGAAGTCATAGGAGTCATCAGACACATTCAGAGCATTGTTCGAGCTCGACTGGCGGCTCAAAATTGTCGACTTCGTTCCTACTTTCTTTTTCTTCTTCTTCGACTTCTTCTCTGTACTTTCCTTCTTCTCTTCTTCGACGATCTCCACTTTCTCTGTGTCTTCTTCTGCGACCTCTACTTTCTCTGGTGCTTTTTCTTCTTCTGGTTTCGTTTCTTCGACTACTTTAACTTCTTCGATCGGTTTAATCTCCTCTTCAATTTTCACTTCTTTTTCTTCTTCAACCTCCTTTTTTACTTCCGGCACCGACAAATCCACATCGGTGATAATAACTCTCTTTGTGATGGCAGGAGGTGTCGACTTCGTATGATTCTTTCTCGATTTCTTCTTTGGCTTCTTCTCTTCTTTAGTTTCTTCGGGTTTGATTTCAATCACGGGCGGCTCCTGTACTATTGGTAGTGTTGGTGATGGCGGTGGTGGCGATGGTGGTGATGGTGGTGGTGGAGTAGTGGGTTCTTGTATTGTCTCTTTCGGTGGTGGTAATGGTGGGGGTGTTGGTTCTTGTGGTACCTGTGGCGTTTCTTCTATTCTTTCCAAATTCTCTTCCACTTCTTGCTCAGTCTTCTCTTCAACGTCTTCAATTTCTTCAACGTTTTTGTTCTTTCTCTTCTTCCTCGACACCGAAATCCATTCGTTTGTAGATTTTGGCGGCGTTCTTTCCATTCTTTGGTGACTCTTCACAACATTCTCTTTGGCTTCTCTCACTCTTCCTGCTTTTGCTTTCTCCATATTCCTCTCATGCCGTTCGCACGGCTGCACAACTGACTTTTTCAAAGTATCCGAATAATTTCTCACCACCTTCGCTTCTTCCTTCTTCGGACTACTTGTCACTTTATTCCAAACTTTCTCTTCTCTACTCCTCAACTCCACCTTTTGGTACTTGTGCCTCTTTTTGCCTCCACTCTTTTGCGTCTCCTCCTTCTTTTCGTCCTGCTCTTTAGCCGCTTCTTCCAGCTTCGACACAATCTTCGCTATGTCGATCTGGTTCTTAGGAACTTCAACCGTTTCTTTCGTTTCTTCCTTCTTCTCTTCTTCTTTTTCGTCCGTCACGTGGACTGGTTGCTTATACGGTACGAAATTTACATAGTTCTGAGGTATAAAGTTGATGGGAATACCAGGCGGGATAAATGCGTTGAATTCGCCCATTGGGTTCAAGATGGGCACTGGTACGAAATTCGACGGGATTTTTATAAACTGGACGTTCGCTGGTTCGATGGGAATGGTTTCTGGTTGGCGGTACGCCCTTGGGACGAATTCTTCGGCGTCCGGTTTGAGGTCGTACTTCGTGGGTTTGCCGTCTTTTGATTCTTCTTCTTTTTGTGCGTTTTCGTCTTGGGTTTCTTCAGGTGATGCTGTCGCTTCGACTTCCGTAACGGGTTTCGTTTCTTCTTTGACGTTTTCTTCTTTTGGTTCTTCTTCTTTTACATTCTCCTCTTTTAGTTCGTTTTCTTTTTGCACGTCTTTATTTTGGTCGATTGTTTTTGCCGGAGTTTCAGTCTTCGTTTCTTCCGCGTCGCTGAAGATCTCATCCGATGATTCGGATGTGGTGCCCTCTTGTTTCGAACGGGAAAGCTTTCTTCGTCTTCGTTTTTTCACGCGGCGGGGTTCGGGCTCGCAGACAGCATCTGGGGAAATTTAATGATTGTTTTTCAAATTTTCAGATTACAAATACATACAAATATTATTTATAATATTTAATACTTTAATGAAGTGGGCATTTTTTCGTGAAGTCATATATTCGATGATGTCATTCCAAGTTATAATTACTTTTCCATTTGTAAAACGGACAACGTAAAAAAATTGACACTTCGAGTATAGGAAATTTCGTCGGCTGTTAAAAACTTTATGTTTGAAAAAGCTACTTAATTATTATTATTAACTGACGCCTTCTTTCGTTTTGAAATAATAATAACATTAATTGTAATTGAACTATTTGTGCAAATATCATCTATAATAATAAATATTTACACATCTAGCGTAGGTATTTTGCTTAACTCGATTTGATGGTTGTCTCTAGGAATAACTGTGCTTGTTGAAGTTGATGGTTAATCTATAAACAATTAGGAAGTAATATATTTGCTTGCAGACAGAATTTAAGGATTCACCAAAATACAATAGCCTTCAGCGACGGAAGATGACTTCCATCCATCGTGCCTTTTCAACATTGTTATATCGCCTCCTGCTAATGCAATACTTGTAGAGTCGCAGAAGTCCACCGAATAACATGCCCCGTGTATTCTTTTGGGCTGCTTAGTTTTAAATATGCAATTTTTGGTACTGCTCTAATATCATTTATTCCAACAAATTGTCTCGAACACTTTCCAGCTTGATAGTTGCAGATAATCTTGAATTTTTTAAACTTGGAGGACAAAGTGCTTTTTCACGCTCCAGTCGCCAACCAAACACGATGAAAACTGTTACGAAATAAACTCATACGCCGCCCCAGTACGACGCCGAAGGGTTTTCATTCAGTACGTACGACGATAGTCAATGATAGAAGTAGGATCTAGTCAAATCCATTCCAGTTGAGTTGAGTCGGAATTATTCTGTACATCATCGCTGTATAGTTAATCGTATAAACTAATATCACTGAGGAATAAATTGTTGAGTTTTACCCACGCCGATTTTAAATACCAGTAAATCGTAAGAATCATTTCTCTAATAAAAATTCTGTTAGTCTTAAGGATTATACTTCGGTATTTTTCGAATGTGTCGTTTCACTTGCCAAGAGTCTTTTATATTTAGTAGGTACACGAGAATGTACTTATTACTTTTACCACTGTAAACAGTTTGAAAGATTGACAAAAGAATAATTAGTGTTAGGTCACATCAAAAATAAATAGGTATGTAACAGTATTTGTGCGTTTTCAAATATACTGGGATAAACAAACTACCAAAGTTCATAAAATTTTTGTATGAAACTTCTGTAGACAACACTATCGGAATACCTTAATCATCGAAAAAAAATCCAGTTTTAATTATTACAAGTTCTCAATTTTTTCTGTATATGTATTCTGCATGAATTTTGTGTTTTTTGTGGATGGCATTTGTGGCTTAAATCAACAATGTAAACTTTATCTCAGAATTATTTAAAACATATATTTATACATTTAGAACACAATTTTGGATGTCAACAGTTCCACGCTAGTGCTATTGAAAATGAAACATAAATGCTGAACAATTTTCGTCATTGTATACACGTGTAATTTACATAGAAACATCATATAAATTTTAAAAAGCAGGAAATAGCAAATTACGAATACCCGGCTTAGCGGTAAAGTGGATTCGTAACAATAGCCCACACTTACTTTGTCAACATTTTGAAGCTTTAGAAACTACATTCAGATTTATCTGTGCACTGATAAACCGGCCCTTGTGTGTCAAAACAGAATGATACAAGTGACATTATGATAACCTAAATTTTACTACACTGAATTGTGGCTAAACCAACGTCTCTGTGTAACTTATAAGTTATAACATACAAATTTTCTGAAAATTTGACGCAAATGACGGCTTTTTATCGCTAAGTTTTATCTATGAATTTACGCAAATGGTGACAGACTCTTCATTTCTTCCGCAGTAATTAGTAAAGTTCAAATTATAATCCCCCATTAATTTGTAAAAACTGTGTTTGTAATGTTTTGAATGAACGTAACTGGATATGCGTCAATTTGAAGGAAAAACTAAACCTTTTTTGTACCGTACAGATGGCCACCTGAAGCTCCGACGCGAGGTTCAGGTGTGTTATTGCATTGACGATTTATCTACTATCCTGACTGCTTTTGGTTTAAACAATGCTTTTAATGCAATTCACAAACTACAAAATGACGGCATGTTTCACGTGCTGATGTTATTATTTAATCTTTTAAATTGGCGGCGAGTCTCGTCCACTTGGAACGGCATCTGATTTATAATATACAAAAGCTGTTATGGTAGCGGTAGCTGTTACACAACAAATCAAAATTGTGAATTGTACGTACTATTATTGGAGTATAACGACACTTGAATGATTACTTTACGTTTTTAAGTGGCGATTTTTGTAAGTATGTATTAGTTAAGTTGCCAAAAATTTAGTAGCATGCAGTGCACTTTTTTTTCAACATGTCAGGTGCTGTCAGGTCATTTCAAATAGCTACTTTTTACACTTTTTAAATAATTTATTTATTATTTTTACGTACACAGAACTAGTTTTAAAATTGTTGACTTTTAACACTGAAAGTCCACTGCTGAAGCATTTACTACAAAGGATTTTTACATGTAGGAGAATTATTAATATTAGTAGGTACCGCGTGATTAGAAATGACTGAGTTTGTTGGCACTCGAGGATTTTTAGTTGAAATTGGTATCATGATGTTTTCTATAATTTTCGATTGTCAGTTGTCAAGACTGACAGATTGTTGACACTTTTAATGTGCAAAATCTATCCAAAACATAAGCTAAATTTATCGCATGTCACGATTGACATATCTTGTCACATAATGTCTTCCGTTAGCCAACATAAACGTAAGAAAAGTTCACATTTTTGTTTAAAAGTTACTGCCAACAGACTCAGTCATTTCTGATCACGTGGTATGGTAAAGCGGTCACTTTGACGAAGTTTAATTTCTCGTCGCTTTGGGACTTTAAAGATCGGGTTTACATTTCCGTTTGTCTGTCTATGGTCTGTTTGCTTATCTAATTTTTTTCGTTAAAAAAAATCTTAGTTATCATTTAATTAATCAATAATTTGTACCATTGTATTTGAGTTTTCTTAACAGACAGTAGCGCCAACTTTTTTGTAATTTAATATATTTCCCCAAACACAATAATGGGAAAATGTAAAAGCGTAAATCTAAGGAAAATGTAGGAACATTTTTAGTGGCTTTTATAGGTTAATACCACGTTAATTAGTGTCTAAAAGGCCAGACTGTTGTTTTGACGGGATAACTAACACTTTTAGGGCCGGTTTCTGGTGGACGAATTAAATTTTAACTTGAACTAAAATATAATCTGCGATTTATATAACTATATGTGAATTTAACAATTTCATTGGTGGAATTTCATTATAAAATCGGTTCATTATGTGATTTAAGTAAATGGCGTGATTAAGTGCTACTGTAAACCGAGTCTTAAAATTTTATTACATTTATTTTAACAGTTCTAATCAAGTAAAAATTCAAATTAACGATAATAAATAAGATTTCTCAGATAACTCGTAACACAAAATATTCAACCCAATTTCATGACTTAATGTGTTGTCCGTAATTTGTCTTATTTTATTTTTTTACATCTCTAAAGCTAACAGATAAACAAAAACATGTTTTTTTTTTCACTGATCGAATTCATATTCCGTTTGAAAATTCATATTCAGGTTGTTAAAAAATTTTCAGAACGCCACCCTGTATGTGAATCATAAAGGTCGATTTATAAACTTGCTGACGTTGCTGTTGCCGTTGAAAGTAGGCACGCCGTTGGGGTGACGTTCGAGATAACCAACTTTTAACTTTTGCCGTTACGTTGCCGTTGACGTTGGGTTTTCAACCAATCAAATTGCGGTCGTGTGCAGCGCTGCCAACTTGAAGGAAAATCCCCTAAAGTATGGGGGACATTTTTCTAGCTGACAGCACTAATTCCACGAAAATAAAATTTTAATGAGGTCCACTAATATTAAGCCATTTAATCACCTGTTCATCAAAACCCTCATATTTTAAATAGCTGCCATCATTTTCCACACTGTAGCTTTCTGTCAGTAGTTACCTACGCATTGTTGAAGATAATTCTCGTCGTTTGAATCAACAAGATTTATTGCTATTATATTAATATGTGTACTCTTTTTTTCACAACATGAACCTTAAAACATGTTTAAAATGGTAAATTTGTATATCGAAATATCGATTTTGCAATTACGCTCCGCCTCTCAGTCTGATAACGAATGAAAAATTCATCACGATTGAGATCGAGACAGATAGGCTTCTCTTTCGGTTTTCTTTTTTAATTAATACATTTAGTTTTCTTTGTATAACACGATTCCTTAAGAACATATTTCACATGGTAATTTTTCGTAGAAAAATAAGAATTTTACAATTAAGCCCCGCCCCTCGGCTTACGACTTCTTCATATGTGTAGAATTATTTCGCCAACAAGAAACTTAAAACGTGTCTAAAAAGCTAAATTTTTGTAATAATCAACTTAAATCTTTCACTTTTCTTCTACAACCCCTTTGAATACGGGAAAAGTTGAACATCAAAGTTACTATCAACGGCAACTTGGCAACGGAGTTTATAAATGACAATTTTCAGCTTTAAAAGCAAAGTCAGCGGGAACTTCAACGTCAACAGCAAGTTTATAAATCCCACTTAAATCTAGGCAAAAGAAAAATAAGTATATCTCTGTTAAAAGCAAAATGAAAGTTTGACTCCAAAAGACCAAATGCTTTGAACCTAAGTTGTTTTCAACACTCGATACGATCTCAATATACAGGGTGAGTCATTACGCGCGCGATATCTCGTATTTATAGAAATACAAAAAATAAAGTAAAAGACCAACGTTGTAAGGTTTTTTGAGGACCATACACTCACATTTTATTTTCAGCTACACAGAGTTTTCTTAAGGCTCAACACACAACTTAGTTTTTTTCGTTTTTTCAAATGGAATACCTATATATTTTTATATATTTTGATTGACGTCTTCTTAGGCTTTATAACCACAGTTTATTTTGAAATTCGGATGCGACGTTGCCACGATATTCCAGTTTTCTTGAATTTTTTTACTAACGAGAGAGTTCACAAAAAATGTTTAAATTAATCGATATTTCAATTCTTTAAATAATACATCTTGTGTTTTATTGCTGCATCTGTCCTATTTTCTGTTCTGTTTCTTGTTAAGTATTTTCTATATTTAAAGTCATAGTTATTGTGGTTTTTTACTTTTTTAATAGACACAGCGACATACTGAAAGAAGGGGAACACAAAATGCAGTAATAAAACACACTATTTTTAAAAGTTAAAGAAAAATTAATACGATGGGAGTGCAAACTTGACTGACCTTGCTTTAATTTTTATAAACACCGATAAATTTGCAAAAAATTATTAATTTTTTCGTGCGTATTTTTCACACTAATTTGTGTGTGATTACCTGCAATTACATTATTTTATTTTAAAACATGCGGAAAAAGAAAAAAAAGTAAAAAAGTTATAATACTAAACTCTTAGCTTGAAGTTATAAATATTCAAAAGTCTGGGTTTTTTGTCTGGTAGTGTAGTTATTTCGCTAATTTTTTTAATATCCTAATATACAAACCGAATTCTTTTGGTCGCTTTGATTACAAACTTATCCAAGAAAGCGTTATGTTCCGCTTAATGTTATCAGAAAACATGAAATAAGCATACTTAATCCCTTAGCTATAGTTCGGAAAATAAAAATTAATACAAAAAGTTTTTAAAAATGTCCTTATTAGTTGGACCTAAAACACTATTGTGATTTTAGGCCTAAAATAATTAATAATCATTTCATGATTATTTAAGAAGTGTGATCACAATTATGATGTTAATTTTATACATTTAAACAATGAACAGTATCATTAAAATTAGTAAAATACTGAATTATGCACTCAACACTGATTCATTTTTTTACACATTACAAGACGGTAAAAATTATAATGTTACCGAGTAGTATCCTCGCCTGACTAACTTTCCCAACATAAAAAATGACTTCAATTTGCAGGATCAAGTTAAAAGAATGGAAGTATTGCATTTTTTTCAACATCAATGGTGGCAACCGCTTTTTCGTCAAACGTTTGATTCTTTTTGCTTTCTTAATATTTTCCCAATAAATTTTTCGTTCTTGTCGTAGATCGCACTGACCCCATTATACCCACAGTTTGAACCAATAATCCCTGCCTGCACATTGTTGGCACACCATCCACCTCACCGACGTAATTTTAGCCCAAATCCTTCACTCACCTTGCGCCTGACAGGCTCCATAGTAGTATCCCGGATAAATCACATTGTACACCTGATTCAACTCCGAAACGTTGCTCGGTGTCTCGCTCTGGCTCAGATCTTGACTAGTTTCTTCATTATTCGGACTCGTCGACTCCGTCTACAACAACAATATCCATTTTTCAAGAGAAAAATTAAAAAAATCCCCCTGTCAGTGCTGCCAACTCTCCCAACACTCATTCTATTCCTGAACGTCTATTTTTGGACCTTGGACACACACTAATGATGCTTTTATTTATCGCCGGCAAACATTGTGACACGTTACGTTATTATTACGTCTATGTTTGTCTAGAGACGTGTACATTACGTAACTTACCAACGATCCCGTGCTGCATCTTTTCGTCTTGACGTTGGTGTACTCCGGGTAGTAGGTGGGCGGGTTGTAGACCATGACGGGATACGGTTCGAAGCCTGTAAGGTTTGACGCATTGAAAATTGACAAATGGGGAAAAACTTCATCAAAGCCAACTGAATCGAGTGTTAACAGTGTGTTAACTATGCAGTTATGGATCGTTAACACGATGTTAACTATTGATGAAGTTGGCTACGACGCGCGTCCAGTATATTATTTTTAATGAGGCATGAATCGCGCACTCGACTTTACGAGGTGTTACGCAGGGCGATAAATTAAATCCGATGCTGCTTCATACCTTTTTACATAAATCTTACACTAGTGTTTCTTGATGCACGACTTTTGTAACTGTTCGTTGTAAAGTGTTGTGAAACACTTAGGTGGTGGTTCGAAGGGGTATGTGATCTCGCAAGTTTCCTACGTCAAATGTGTTGGGAAAACTTTTATCGTTGTCTCTTTCAAACACGTGTTAGTTTTGTTCAGAAACATGGAAAATAATCTAGATTAAAGTTTTGTAAATTTTCCGTTAAAACTAATTAGATGAAACTTTGTGATAAAAATTTGACTCCTAAAATTACGTATTGTAATAACCATTGATTAAATACATATAGATAGACCCATGCTATTGTTTGGAGCGAACAGGCCAACGGCCGGCGAACAAGAGATGGCGCACCAACGGTCGGCCGTCAAACGCCGGCGAAAAGCTTGGACACCAATCACGCGCATAGGTAACACAAATCACACAAATAATATATTTAATGAATCTACCACTCGATAGAGGGCGACGAAAAAATGTGTAAAAATTTCATAGTCACCATTTAAATAATTTGCAACGTTGCCAGATGAGCCTAACACAAATTTGCCGTTATTTCTAGCCAAGTAGGTTTTATTTCGTTTAAAAGTTTCTGATAAAGAAATGGGATTATTATAATGAATAAAAATAAATAAAACAAACAAATTATTACTTGTTATTTTAAATACTTGTTAGTCCTAACATTATTATAAATACGGTCCGGTAACTCAAATTTTATAGAAAGAGTGAGATGTTTCAGGACGAGGCGACCGTAGGGAGCCGAGTTTTTAATTTCGAAACGAGTTCTGCGAAAAGAGTTATCGGAGGTATGTCGTTATGGATTTTATTTCATACTGTCAACATATTTTTTTTGTTCGATAAAATAATTACTATTTTGGAAAAAGTTCAAATCAAGTCACTTTTTCTGACATCGTTAGCAACCGCTGTTTGGCTAGTGTTTTAATTTGTTTATTCGTGCAAATCAGCATCAAATGTTTAAACTAAAATTTATTAGTCTAGAGACGGACAGATATATACTAAAGACAAAACATATCCATTCATATATGTCTTAAAAAACGGGTAACATATGCCGCATAAACTAAAAAATAAGACATTTTCTTTCACATTTTATATTGTAAAAGCAATTAAGTATATCGATAACTCGCTACTGAAAATTTATTGAAATATAATTTCTGCAAAAAAAAGATTGTTGTGGTTTTATGGTTTATTGACATAGTTTACTTATTTAAAATGAATATTTTTCATACATAGCACAAGTTCTTGATATTATTTATTTTAATTTCAAATAATAATTGTGTTTCCTTTAGTTTTAACCAAGAAAATTTTTCGGTTATTATCCAACATACTTTTGTACATTAAGAAACTCCATTCCACGTCGCGGGACGTTACAGAACAATATTTAAGTAAATAAGCTTTTCCAAAAAGAAGTCGTTTTTATGTGTTTTAAAACTCACTCTTTTATCTCCGGACTTTCGGCTTTTTCGTGTTTCACTTCGACACAAGAATATAAACAGTGGAAAAATGGAACAGTTTTAAAAACTATTCATCTATTTGTTCTGTCTTGCAGCGAGAAAGGAATATAGCATATTGTACCCACATTTCATAGTAAAAATATGGATCCGGTTTAAAATTTTACCTACCTACTTAATTACGTTAACAAACTAAAATTTTCATTGAAGAGAAAGAGACAGACTGTTCTAGGAAACTTTATTACAAATCTCTTCATTTACGAGCTGCTGAAGGACCGCCGGTCTCATTGATAATTCTTACCTACTTCAGTTCTTACCTGGCTTGTACTTAAGAATGAAGCGAAAAATGTTCCAACAATAAAAACCAAAATGTACAGACTGGAAATATAGTAAATGGGGTAGTACCTACATACAAACGTATGCGTAATAGTTCGTTAGACATTAGGTATTTATCAAAATTAACCAAATCTCTTAGTTTACGCACTATTGGACGAGCACTCCTTAAAACGGTCAGAATACTTAATCGCATTATTCCATTCACACCTACCTTAAACTTTGCCAGATGAACCTAACACAAATTTGCGGATATTTCTCGTCAACCTGGTAATATTTGATTTTGAAGTTTCTAGAAGTATCTCAATGGGAATATTATAATGGACAAATAAAACAAACAAATTATTGTTATTATTATTTGTTGTTTTAATCCATTAGACGCTTATAGGCTATCGCATACTTTTTTTGAAAAATCGGTAATAAATTCGGTGAAGCATCTTTGCCCCTTAATTCCTATGGGTAAATTGGGATTTTGAATAGAGATCGCAGAAACATTTTTTATGGTTTTATGGTTTATTTACATAATTTACTTATTTACAATGAATGTTTTTAATATATAATACAAGTTCTTGATATTATTTATTTTTATTACAATTAATAATCTTGTGTTATTTTTCATTTTCAACAAGAAAATTTTGTCGCTTATTATCTAACATATTTTTATACAATGAGAAACACCATATGTTTCACATCACAGGACGTTGCAGGAAAATACTTAAGTAAATAAGCTTTTGTTATTTCACTTCGACGCAAGAACCGTTTCAAAGAAAACAAACAGTGAAAAAGCGGAACAGATTCACAAAGTTTTCTGTTCTTTTTATATATATGTATAAGAAATAATATGCTAAATGGCAACTATGTTGTAAAGAGTAGTAATGGCAGTTCTCAGAAAATTATTTCATTCCAGGATATAATAGATCTTTATGAAATTGACAGAAACAATACAAAGTGTCGGGCGCTCACAAAACTAACAGAAGCTCATGTTCGACCAAAACCTTTTCAAAAAATGAGCGTAAAATTAGCACTTCAGACGTTTAGTCATTCCGTTGCATCAGCAATGCGAACAGCCATTGCCACAAAAGAAATTAATAGTCCAACTGCGGCAGATACAGCAGATTTTGTGGATTTTATGAATAAAGTTTTTGATTGTTTGAACAGTCGAAACTTATATGAATCTAATCCATATAAATCTGCGCTCTCAGACTCTTTCTATAAAATTTGAGTTACCGGACCGTATTTATAATAATGTTAGGACTAACAAGTGTTTAAAATAACAAGTAATAATTTGTTTGTTTTATTTATTTTTATTCATTATAATAATCCCATTTCTTTATCAGAAACTTTTAAACGAAATAAAACCTACTTGGCTAGAAATAACGGCAAATTTGTGTTAGGCTCATCTGGCAACGTTGCAAATTATTTAAATGGTGACTATGAGATTTTTACACATTTTTTCGTCGCCCTCTATCGAGTGGTAGATTCATTAAATATATTATTTGTGTGATTTGTGTTACCTATGCGCGTGATTGGTGTCCAAGCTTTTCGCCGGCGTTTGACGGCCGACCGTTGGTGCGCCATCTCTTGTTCGCCGGCCGTTGGCCTGTTCGCTCCAAACAATAGCATGGGTCTATCTATATGTATTTAATCAATGTAATAACCAACAAAAAAAGATCGAAGGTTAAATAAAGTTACTCATTTAACTAACGTTGATTTCGGGTTTTTCCGTCATTTTAGTGTGTTGTTATTTGTCGAAAATTTTGTGTTTGTGTAAACGCTAGGAATTGCAGATTTGGACAAATCTAACTTACTTAAACGAGTTTAGACAGATGTTAAAGTGTAACCTTAAAATACGAGCATGCGTACTGCATCGTAGTACTTAATGTTATAAATAATTTATTGGTCACTAAAATTCTAGTAATTTTGCTTTCTAAAATTTGTCACGTATGCACAGTCTAATTCATTCCTAGGTCTGTGGGTTTGCTTTTTTCTAGTTTTCATTAACATGTTTTATTATCGTGTTCGTATTGTGCTCAGGTCACATGAAAATTTAAGTTCATTTCTGATTAATTCGGTGCCTGCACGAAAACTTTACCACGAAATGTCATATTTTTACTCCCCCAGTGGGAACGTAGGCTTTCGTGGCCGTGCGTCTACCTGTCGTCTGTAGGCAATTTTATTGGGCAGATAATATCGGAAAGTAATGAAGTTTGAAATTTTACTGAAATTTTACATATACTGCTAACTTGGTGATGTCATTTCAAAACATTGTTAAGAAATTCCATATTAGTTGTGAAGTATATCATATAATACCCTTTCACTGCAGTGTAATAAATTATGTTCTTTTTTTTAACTATATCTACACAGTTTGACTAAATTAGCTTTGGACCATCAAATTTTAGGATTTATCTCAGATAATAATATATACATAACGGACTTTTTTGAAGTTTTGGTAACGCATTAACATTTCTTTACTTAATTATTACAAAACGTTAATCAAACTGTATTTTCAATACACCCCCCACCCCCCCCATAGCGTTACTTTTGTTAAGCAATTGCTTGTGGCAAGTTTCTGGTTTTGGCCAGTGTACTCCTCCCCTATTTTTAACTTTCGGTGTAGGGGTTAAAAAAAATGTTCCTACATAGTTATTTATACATATTATGTTATGTCGCCGTAAATGGAAAATTATTTCAAAAATTCAAATAACACAAATTCATTATTTAGAGAATTGCACTTCAAACTTGGTAACTAACTGATATCTAAAAATTTGAAAATTTGTTTGGTTGAAACAAAGTACTCGCACATTGTTCTAATTACAGTATAGAGAAAATCAGAAGCAATATTTACGAAGCAATAGATAAAATAAGCCTGTTTATATATTTTTTTAAGCACAATTCTAATCGCAATGTCCTGTGTTCTCAGAGCCTTAGGAAAATTAGATAAGATATTATTCAATCAGAGATTAGTTTTACTTTTTGTTTTCTTTCACAATTTTAACCACCATGATTTCGTTCCTGTGTTTCTCTGCATATTTATTTTCTTTTTAACTCAATGTCTTGCCTTTTGTTTGTTTTGTAACTTGTCATCTATTTTTAATATAATATATTTTCTTAGTAGTAAACTTCTTATTTTGAAACTTCGTATTCCATTTTTTCTTTCGTATTTATTTTTTTTTTAATTCATTCTTAATCGTTTATAATTTGGGTGGAAACTGCCAAAAGTGTTAAATAAATATGAGCGACAGTTCGCTTTTTGTAGTGCACAATTCTAAAAGGCAACACGGAAAACAATTCCGCTCTTTTAACTGACTTCGACGTTTTGACAGCGCATTTTGTAGAATGTTGTTTGTCTGCTCAGTTTCAGACGGGTTTCCGTCGCCGTCCCAAAGCTTCATCCTAGAATAAAAACAACACATCGACAGACCCGTTTCAGATTAACTCCGGGCCCTGGGCCAGGAATTATGCATATTTTTGCAAAAATTTAAATATAAATTAAATTGGACTATTTTTGACTTGTAACTTTATTATATATGTATAATCCGCGCTTACTGAACCATTTGGCTAAAAAATTCTCATTAATACTTTATAATCAGACATTTTCCACCACTGCTAGATATAACTCTGGCCCCACACCAAAATTTTTTGCACACACCTCTCTGTCATTCGCATTATCTCAATTAGTGCCAACTTAATTAAAGCCACATACCAATGAACCGAACGGCCGAGTTATCTGACCGCAAATAGCACGAAAGCTCCATTACTAATGAAAATGACATGTAAATTTGAAGATTACTTCTACTCACTATTGACGTAATAGATTCCGTTCTGGTCGACGAAACCATTCGGGAAGACGAATTGCGATTCGTATTCTAGATCTAGAAAGGAAGATATGAACATGGGTTCTTTCAAAGGGGTTAAGTCAGTACCAGTTGATTGATGGTCCGGTGTTCCGTTACCGGTCGAGTTACCAGTGGATGTGGTAGAATTTCCAGTTGACGTCTGGGTCTGGTAGGTCTTGGGCTTGTTCAAGTAACCCTTTTTGAATAGTACGTCTTGTCTAGGAGTCGTAATGCGCGTATACTCGTCTGAAACAAAAGATCTATTTTGAGTAACGCATAAATAGGTGTTTGACACGTGACTGCGTGGAAAATTGGCCACAGTCTAAACACTGTGGCTTACATTATATATAAAGAGTATTTGCTTACATAAACGCTGATTGTAATATAGTTCTATTCTTACATGTATATTAACTTGAAAAATGATGTGGTAATTGTGCCAAAAGTTTAATCTTTGCTTCATTAGTACAAAAATGCATTTTAATTAATAACTCCAATAATGTAGGAGTAGTTTATTTAGAGTAAAATAACAATCGCATTAAAAGTTACCATTTGTATAGTTGTTAAACTGAAAATGAACGGATGAATCGGAAGTTGGTTATTTTTGACTACAATGTTTGAGACGTTGGTGCGAGCTACAAACTTTTTATATCACCCTCGATGCTAACCGATGTATTATTATCCAACTTTTTTTGACCTAACCTGGTTCCGATTGATTCGCCAATATAACTCTCAGCTTCTGTTGCTGATTACAATCTTCTAGGCCTAGCAGCTTCTATTTATGGATACTTAGAATTGTGTGTAATACCTTGTAAATAATAAATGTTGATTTTTCAATATAAGCTAAGCGGAAACAAGCTAAACAATTTAAACATTATTCTAAACAGTGAATTCAGCACGAGATCGTGCATTTTGGATACGGAGACATTATTTTCTGTTCCAAGCATAAGCTAAGGAAGTATTGTAATACGATCGATCCAACAGGCGATTGGGTGCTTTGAGTACAATAAATCTCCCATTTCCTTTCGTTTGTCTACCTATCTGTTTGCTGTCTGTGTTGATTTCTATTAGACGGATAATCTTCGAAACAATCGGTCCGATGATTGTTGTCAAATTTTATATGTATGTTAGGTGTAGAACTCATTTATTATAAAATTAAAATGTCTAGAATCGTAAAACCATATCAAAATGTATTTTTGAGATTGCTTCGTGGTCTAAAACTCTATTTCAACTTCGAATTCTAAATTTTTATTACATGTATTTCTCTCTTATATCTTTATTACTTCAATAAAAAGCATAAGTCTAAATTTATAGACATTATCACAAAAAAATCGCAAAATCATTATTTTATAATTTTTTAAAGAAGCGGGATTTCTTGGACTGCACTTCACAAGCGAGGAAAGTTCTACCGAAATAACTCAACCAATTTTTTGGCGCTTGTTGGGGGATTTGTGTTATAGTGTAAAAGTGAGCTTTCGATGCTGGGGGTGGTGTCATTTGGCCACTATCTTGTAAACAAGAGTGCAATTAGTGTTTACGATGTATCCTCGTAATCGTGATAAAACTCTTGCAAACAGCGATTCTGTATATTTGTAGATTCAATTATCTACGTTTATTGATAACTTTTCGGCGTAACATGAATAATAAAAGGGTTATGAGCAAAAAAAAAAACTAAGTACTTTGACTCTTGATAACTTTCAGCTATAAAAATCCCTCTTAGCTTTTTTATCGAGCATTTCCTAATAAATAATTTAACAAACTTACTTTTTTTATGTGGTTTATTCTTATTGATTAATCATCATCATAGTCACCAAAGGGAAGTTGTATAAATCATGTGTTTTATTAAGCTTCCGATAATAGATTTTAAATTTACAAGATTTGAAATCTTAAAGCAAATTTCAAAACTACATTAATCCATAAGAAGATTTATTGAAATCTTTCTGTAAAATCCACATCTGCATATGAAGTCTTTTTGTAGAAAAAATTAAGTTCTAAATGTTAATAAACGAAACAAATCTGTATTGTACAAAAGTCCAATTTCAAATCCAGAAGTTCAAAATAAATTTTGTAAGTTAAGTAATTATTCAAAATACGAGAACATTAAATCAAACACAATGAATGAAAATCTAGGATTTCAACTTTTTCGAACGACGAATAGCTGAAAAACGCGAAACAAATACTTAATCTAGAAAATGTTATTTTTAGAAAAAACTTCAAAACTTGGAAAAATTAAATGCCGTATTTATAAAATCTATAGAAAATATATAGAATATCCAAAAAAATCAGTGCCTAAAACATGAAACATTTCAAGTATTAAAAAAGTTTTAGAGTGGATCAATCTCTCTTACCGTCTTACCTCTTATTCCATTTCCATTCCCCATATATCTTCGGTTTTCCCAATTACCTAATTCAATTCTAATTAATTTATTGCTACGTTTTTTTTTACCTTCGAGCACTGGTTCTGTATGCATTATTCAGTACGGATATAGCAAACTACAGCAAAGTATTCTTTATCTTAATACAAAAATGCCTTACATGTTATACAATTGGAAAAATGATCCAGATAATGCCCGAACAGGCTTTCATTACGTCTTATTCGTGCGATTGAGGAAAAATAGTGATAATAATTAATTAGTTTAGTAGTACTTAGTTATTTATTGCATAACGAGCCTATTTCAAGTTGAATTTGCGATAAAAGTAGTTGCGATGGCAACAGGGACTTGCGATATCGCAAATCATGAAATCTTAGAAGTGCAGACAGTTCTATTATTCTTTATGGCACAATTCCAAGTGTTATTACTTATTACATAGCTCAAACTTTAAGTGTCAAACATTTGAAAGATCTTTCAGAAAGCGTAAAACTCGGAAAATGTATATATAAAAGTTATTTGTCCGCCATTCACGAGAAATTCAATATTAAACTTGGCTCGCCAAAGACCGACACTCGTACACAACTCTTTCATAACGAAAATTTCCGCGACTGAGAATGATGAAATTGAAGCCCTTCTAGACTTCTAGAGGAAAATAGTAGGCAAATTTTTCCGGTACCCCATATGTGAAAGAATTTAGCTTATCGTGTCAACCACAGTATTATAATTTGTTTAGGATACTGTCAATGTAAGAAAATGATAATATGATTAATAATTATTTCTCCTAAAGCAATATTTTCTAAAATTTTTGTTTCATGCTATGTTCGATGTACAACATACTTAAAACCAAACGATAACGGCACAACAAATTCATCAAAATATATACTAACCATATATTTATACATATCTACATAGAATACCCAGTGTAGAATAATATTTTTTGGAGCATAGGGATTTTACACGTAAAAACAGAAATTTGAAAATTTTGGCTCCCCTAATTATTTTAGACCAACACTTTAAATACAAAAGTTATAGAGAATAAAAACCTTTAACCAAATCATTCTTTATTATTTTTGTAAATTCTTATGGTATTGAAATAAAAAGAAGAAAATCCATGACCTGTGTCAATCAAATAAAATTCATTACATCGACATTTTGGCTATTTGATTTAAATTCACTATTCTGAAAACAAGCTTTAAAACATGCTTTATTTGCTCCAGAACAACCGGGAACCGTCAGTCCTAGTTTAAACGAGACTATTTTGAAATAAGTATGTTCCAAAAACGATTTTACATCCGGTATATACCAACAATTTATAAAATACTGACCTAATTTATATCACAAAAAATCCATGAGCTTTGATCTAACTTCGACGTGATTAACGAAGAACAAAACAGATGCATTAAAAGATCATTTGTTTGTAAAGAATAATTAGTTAACGATTCCATAATTTGCGAACAAACAAGAAAAGAAAACAGAAGATATATACTGTCATTATGGTTGAGTTTTGTACTCTTGGTTGTGTAAAATTCTTGTTATAGAAGATGATTCCAAAATTTGGCAGTTTCTCAAATATTCAATGGAGTTTCGGACCGCAATCTCTCAAATTGACAGATGTTAACCCATTAAATCAGATCCAATATGCATGATAAGAAGCATCTTTCAAAGATATTTCCTCAGTTTGATATGGTTTTGTTTAGTAATAAATCCTATGTGACATCCCCAATAGCTGCAATTATGGTTATCTAAGTACAAAAACGAAATAATACATACAAATAATTATCTCGATTCCATCAATCTGCTCATATTGATCATGCCAAAACTAAAACAAAACCCAAAAAACAATATTGAGAAGCATTAAAGACCGAATGAAGCGGAAAAATTTCATGAAGGCAGTCAACAAATTCTATGTTCCGCCATTGACGTACTCTTTGGAATAATTAAGTAGACAAAAACTGATTTAAAAAGTAGATTTGATTCTTACACCCGTCAATCTATTTAATACTAAAGGAATGTATATTTTACACATAATAATGGGGTAAAATAAAAGCAACTATACGAAAATCTTTTCAAAGACCTAGATGAAGAACACCTTAATAAGATAATGTCAATGATTTAGCTAAAAAATCCAATTCGTTTAAGATGGACTAATTATTAAGGATTACAGAAACATATCAAATATTCAAGACTAAGAAACAGATGTGGTCGACTTTAAAAAAAAGACGTGAAACTATTCAGCACATCATTTCGTCCTGTAGTGTCCTGGAACAAACTGAATGCAAAGCTAGGCAAACAACGCAGATAAGGTCATTCCAATAGAATCAGTAACAATTTTAAATATAATTTAAGATGCGGCCTCCTGTTACATTTACTATTCATCACCATTCCTTTAAAATACCGATAAGTTATATTGGGATCGCACTGTATTTACATTACAGTCAAGAGACCAGACATTATCCTGACGAAGAAACATAGCTATTCCTATCACAGCCAACTTACACAAACATATCAAAACGAAATTTACAAATATATTCTATTCACGAGATTTGAGAATTATTTACATCACTAGGACAGAAACTAGGCTTTTGTGAATTCAATGCCAGGCCGAGAGTTAGCGAGGCCACAAAAAACGAATATTGTACTACGATAATACGAAGTGAATTCTTCGATAAGTTTGTTTTCGTTGTAGGCAACTTCCACTCAACCTAACAGATAATTATTTCAGAAACCGCCTTTAAATTTTTTCAACCTAAACTGAGTAGATCAGATCTACAGGTGACCAAAGATTCCAGTGTATTACTTTGGAAAAATTTCTTGATATTCGCGGAATAGCATCTTTCATGCAGAGTTAATTTTGGTATCTAGGTACATGAAATTGAA